AAACAATTTCATGAAAAAATTTCATAAGATTAAACAATGAAATCGACAGATGAAGGTGGTTTGCACGGTTTACACAAATGAGGGCGGTTTTCATATGATCACTCCCCTCTCTCTCTCTCTCTCTCTCTATATATATATATATATATATATATATATATATATCAACTCATATGAATAATTTGTCACGTTAGGTCACATATACATCTTCAAATAGATTTTTTTTGATTCATTTTTAACCTCTATGTATTACCGTATTTAACATATTTATTTGAACCATGTCCAGTATATAACTACTCCCTAATAATATGCGAAGGAAGTTTGAATGACTGAGGTCCTGTTTGTTAGCAACTTAATAAGTTTAACGTGGCTCACAACTTATTTAGACAATTATACATGGTTGTTTGATCGTGACTTAATGATATAGAAAGTGACTTATCCAATAAGCTTATATGGAGGAGACTTATGCAACAATTTTTTTTCCCCAAATTTGTCCCTTCCAACCGGAAACACACACTAATTCCTTTTGTTAAAAAACATCTTCTAACAAAAACTTTACCAATCTATACAGACAGCTTATTTCACGTAGAGAAGTGTATTCATACAAGACTAGTTGTGTACCCATGTAATACGGCGGGAGCCGTGAATTTTAATGATTTTGAAGTTTCACGGGTTTTATTAGAGAAGATTTAACGTTGATATAAGTTGCATTTGATCTTTACATATTAATACAATTTGAATAAATAAAAGTTATGGTTCCAATTACAGTTTATCGATAAAAAAATTTGTATGATAGTTTAAAATCCAATATATTTAAAATCCAACATATTTAAACGACTCCACAAATGTGTTCGATTTACACCAAGAGCAAAGAATCAAGAGATCGAGAGCAAAACCAAGAGTTCTAGAGCAATTGAATGAGAGATGAATGTGCGAACTTTTAATAACTTATGGTGAATATCAGTTTGAATCTAACATTGGAGGATAGGGAGAAGACATAGAGGTATGAGAGGTTGAAGACATGAGTGAAATGTGTCAAAAGTATATTGGGAACATGAAAAGAAAAAGTAATAATATGTATTGGTAACTTGTACTATATGTTATTTTAATTGTAGATTAAGATATTTTAAGACTTAATGCATAAAGTAGTAGTACTTAATGTATTATGAGTTGTTTTTAAAACTTTTAATACTTTGTGCATAAATGTATAGTACTTTGTACATTAATTTTTTTTATTAAAACTTTTAATAAATATGGTTTATAAGGTAGTATAGATTTAATAAAAAAAATAGTGAACCGTGAGTAGGGGCATAATAGTAATTTTGAGTAGAGTCCAGCAGTCTTATCAAAGGGATCGGATAAATTCACCACGGCGGCACTCCGCGTCAACGGATGCTTTTGGATTTTTGTGTTCAATCCACCCTTCTTTCCCTCTCGTATAAAACACCCCCTTTTCACACACCCACTCCCTTACTAAAACCCATCGTCTCTCTTCAATTTAATCCAACAAAATTTCGTGCATTTCACGTTTTGCTCTCCGATTGGTAATGCTCTAACTTTCTTTTCTTTTCTTTGACTTTGTAATTTCTTCTTCGTCGGCGATCTTGACGATTATGCGAGAAATCTTCATGCCTTTTACATTTTTAGTGGTTCATCGATGATTATTGTTGTTGTTTTCTTTATGAAATCTCGAAGAATTACTTGTAATTTTGATATGCTTACTGATGTTTGAGGTTCAGTGTTCATAGTTTGTTGACAAGGTTCGGGGTTAGTGATGATTCTGATTTGTATTCATTATGTGAAGTAGTGTTTGATTTGGTGGCTGGGAATATGTTTCTCTCTTTTGTTCAAAAGTTGTGGTGCTTTTAGAATATTTACAGCATGTATAGCTTTCCCCCTTTCATGACCTTTCTAATATATGTCTAAATGTTGGATTTATTCTTACTTTCTTTGAAGTTATAATTTTTTTTATAATATATACTTGCTTATGGAAGTGATTGTTGGTAACTTTGACAATAATGTGAGAAATCTTGAAGTGTTTTACTTAAGGATCTTCCATGAATCCATATTGCTATTAATACTTTGTTGTGGAAAATCTTGAAGAATTCCTTTAATTTCGATATGCTTAATGATGTTTAAGGCTGATCATTATAGTTTGTTTATAATGGCTCGGGTTTAGTTCCATCCAGTGATGATAAACGGCTGATTTGTATGCATCATCTGAAGAATTGTTTAATTTTGTTGTTGAGTATATTTAATCCTTCTTTTTGAGTATGTATCATCTGAGTGTTGTTGAATTTGGTGGCTGAGCAGATTCAATCTTCTGTTTGAGTATATATATAGTAGGTTTATACGAGAACAATAACTAAACGAGAGAATATGAAGACGGTCGGATCACGTTTGATTTTACATTAAAATTACGTGTAAAATCACATGTGACTCATGCGACTTTGGCCGTGACCTGCCTGCACACCCATGTGTTGACCGTTAGTGTAAAATCACATGTGATTTGGTTGTTTTCATTTTCTTTTATTTAGTTACTGTTCTCGTTTGAGCCTCCCTCTCTCTCTCTCTCTCTCTCTCTCTCTATATATATATATATATAAATGGCCACCATATATATAACTTTCCTCCCTTCACAATCTTTCCTCGCATCTCTAACATGCTGGATATATTAGGCTTCATATGGAAGCAATTAGGCACTTCAGGTTCTATGAATTGATATTTGTTTTACACACTATTTCTTATCAGTATACTTATAAAATAGAAGCGAATTGGGGAATGGAGGTAGCACTGTTCTGTTTGTTTTACGTTCATTTGTATTGAAGATGTTTTGTTTTTGGTTATGATGTTTTTCTATTTTGTGAAACAGGTTATTTCTATTTAGAGATAGAAATTAATTTACTTCATAGAAGTAGGCTCACATACAATTCTTGCATGCGTATATACTTTTAAACAAGTTTTAGTAAATTTTTCAATATGATATTTGGATCCTTCTATCACTGATCAGTTTTAACTGTTTTTAACTGTTTCACAGACTCGTAAGTTAGTCATGGTGGGTGAAACAATTGATGGAGCTTGCAATAGCGTTCTTGTTACACATGCACATGCTGATCCTCGGAGGACTTATCAGGTAGTTGTTGCTGCCACCCAAACTATGGGTATTGGTAAAGATGGGAAATTGCCATGGAGGTTGCCTTCTGACCTCAAATTCTTCAAGGATGTCACCATGACTACATCAGATCCAGCCAGAAAGAACGCTGTCATAATGGGAAGGAAAACATGGGAGAGCATACCTTTAGAGCATAGACCCCTGACTGGTCGCCTCAATGTTGTACTCACTCGTTCAGGGAGCTTTGACATTGCAACTATAGAGAATGTTTTAATATGTGGAAGCATGATCTCCGCATTGGAGTTATTAGCAGCATCTCCTTATCGACTATCTATAGAGAATGTGTTTGTAATAGGTGGTGGCCAGATCTTAAGGTCTGTGCTCACTGTTGTATCTTCCTGTTGAAGCCTGTTTTTTTCTTGGAAGGGTGTCCCAGGCTGTGCCTGGATTAATCCGGAAAATTTTGACTGCAAGGAATCAGCCCTGATAAACTCAGTGGCTACAATTGTTGTGTATGCCTGTTACTAGCCATATTATGTCTGTGATTGACTATACATTTTGATGCAGGGAATCCCTCAATGCTCCTGAATGCGATGCTATCCATATTACTGAAATTGAAACACACATTGATTGTGATACTTTCATCCCTGCAATTGAAGCTTCAGAATTCCAGCCATGGTACTCATCATTTCCCATAGTGGAAAATGGAATTCGCCACTGTTTCACCACCTACGTTCGTGTGAGGAATTCTGCAGCTGAAGCCGATACAAAGGCTAATGGCTCGTCAGATAGTGGCCAGGGCTCTTTGCAATCTGATGTGAAGACGTTTTCTTTCCTACCCAGAAAGATATTTGAGAAGCATGAGGAGTACCTTTATCTGAGACTCGTGGAAGACATCATTTCTGATGGTGCTATAAAAGATGACCGCACACGGACTGGTACATTGTCAAAATTTGGTTGCCAGGTAACTTCAAGCTTGTTTTCTATAGAAGTTTCATCCAACTTTTTCTATGGAACAAAAATCATATAAATGACAGTTTTTCTTATTCCTCACAGATGCGATTCAATCTGAGAAAATCTTTTCCACTGCTTACAACCAAGGCATGTGTGTTTTCTCTGAACATTTTGTATGATTCATTATCTTCATAGTGTTCAAAGGCCAGGCTTTTCTCAGGAATATTTCTGACCAAGCATGCGATACAAGTAGGCTAATGGTTCCATTTTCATTAATGTATATATCTCTTATTGTGTTTGAACAGAAAGTTTTTCCGCTATTATGTGTTTGAACAGAGAGTTTTTTGGCGAGGGGTTGTAGAAGAACTTTTGTGGTTCATTAGTGGGTCAACAAATGCCAAGGTAATCTTCTTGTTCAATAATTGTGATCATAGTTTACTTGACAATGAGTAGTTATTACCACTCCTAGACCCTAGGAAGGAATGCGGTTCTTTATGATTTAAAAGAAACATTGGAAGAACTAATATTTCTTTACATCACTTACACATTGGTTTCTATTCTTTTGTTTTGACTCATATGGAATTTATAATGATAGATGTTGTGCCCCTAGTATGTCTACTATAAACACCTATTTGATTTAAGATATATATGGGCATGTATGCTAGGTATATATGTCTTGACGAAGTTATAATGTACCATTGTAGCCGGTTTTACATTCTATAGGTTGTGAAGTTCCGCCATCCCATATACTCCCTCTGTCCCTAAATAAGTGTCTACATTTATATTTTAGTTTGTCCCAAACTAAGTGTTCACTTTCAAAAGTAAGTGCCTACTTTACAGTTCTACCCTTAATTATAAGATGGAGAAATTCATTCCTCCGTCTATTATTAAGGGTAAAATTTGTCGTTTAATTGATTAAAAAATGTAATATTTACACATTTCTAAAACTGTGTTTTTTTTTCATTTTGGACATTTATTTTGGAAGGAGGGAGTATAAGTTTTTGTTGTTGCTTGTATGCAATTTGAGTACAATCCTTTCACTTAAATGTCTATGGTTATCAGGTTTTGCAAGAGAAGGGCATTCATATATGGGATGGTAATGCATCTCGAGACTACCTTGACAGGCAAGTGCATAACTATGAGCTAATGTGGTTATTTCAAGAATTTTTCTACTTTTTATATAATTGTATATGATACTTATTTTGTATTTCAGTATTGGTTTGGTGGATAGAGAGGAAGGTGACTTGGGACCAGTGTATGGATTTCAGTGGAGACACTTCGGTGCAAGGTTATTATTATGTGTTGATGGTTCGACAAAATATATACACCCTCTACCCCAAAGAAAAAACAGATAAAAAAACTTGAACACTTTCTATTTTGAGTTATAAAAATAAAGCAAAGTTTTCTTTTTTGAAAGATTCCCATCCAAATTACCTTTTTTTCGATTACCAGTTGTTATGATAGATTGGTTGGATTGATGTTGTCTGCAGGCTTTCTCAAATTATGGGTTATTTCATTATTAGTCAAAAGCCTTTATTAAAATATATGGCAAGTCAAGTCTTACATTTTTTTGGGACGGATAAAGTATATCTTTTTAGATAAATAACTTATAAGAATTATATAATGATCATAGGTATACTAACATGCATGCTGACTATACGGGCCAAGGATTTGATCAATTATTAGATGTTATCGACAAGGTGAAAAATCATCCAGATGATCGCTGGATCATTCTTTCAGCATGGAATCCTTCGGACCTCAAGCAGATGGCACTTCCACCTTGTCACATGTTCACACAGGTTTGTGCGACTGTCTATTGAAGTTCTTTTTTTCTTTCTCTTATTGATCCCCAAAGTAATACTTCCTATTTTTGTCTGCAGTTCTATGTGGCACATGGGGAGTTATCTTGTCAAATGTATCAACGATCTGCGGATATGGGTCTTGGTGTTCCATTTAACATAGCATCTTATGCCCTGTTGACATGCATGATCGCCCATGTTTGTGGTACGCATTCCTATAAAATTAAGTAACTAGTTTAATCTTCTTGATTAAGTCAAACTGTTTACTTACAGCACACTATGTGGCTTTCACAAACACATACATCTATTAGGGTGCATTTGGTACGTGGCACAGAACGGAACAAAACAAAAACTTGTTGTCCCATATATGTGACATTTAGACTAGGATAGGATAGGAGAGGACTGAGTGTGACAAAAATGCTTTTTTTGTCCCACCAAAATAGGTGGAACAATAATTAGGGAAATGGAACAAAATTGGTAAATTACTAAAATACCCATGTCAAATTAAAACCCTAAAACCTTACACAGTTCTTTCACCTGTGTACCTCTCTCTCTCTCCCGTCTAGTCTCGTCTGTGTACCAAACACACCCTTTTTGACATAAAATAATCAAACGCACCCGGTATATGCCACTCAAAAATGGGGTCTGGGAAGTGTAGGATGAATGTGGACTTTTCTCTTCCCCAAGGGGGTTTTGAGACTGTTTTTGTGAAAACCCTGACTTGTGAAAAGATTTTGGAGAAGACATGAGAGTAACATAAACTTTGTCAACATTTTTGAAAGTTTTGAAAAGAAATCGGATAGCAAGTAACAGAGGAAGATGAGTCATCCAAACTTGGATAGTTTTATGGTATGGGGCTGTCTTGGTGTCCATAGGGCTGTTATTATTATCTTTCAGTTAATCTCTTGGTGGTATACAGTTCTATAGATCTAATTTACTTCTACTCAACGGACAGATCTTGTTCCTGGTGATTTTATCATTGTTCTTGGTGATGCTCATGTCTATAGCACTCATGTGAGACCTCTGCAGGTTCAGCTTCAGAAGATGCCTAGACCTTTTCCAGTAAGCATAATGTGTAGTGGAATTATGTTCTACTATTAGGAGTATTAATTATGTTCTTATGTATATGATTTTTAAAAGCATTAATGCAGATCTTGAAGATCAATTCCCAGAAAAAGGATATAGATGGTTTTGTGGCTGATGATTTCAACCTAATAGGATACGATCCTCAGCATAAGATAGAAATGAAAATGACAGTATAGAGGTACCTTCTATTAAGACGTGCTCTTAATATATACACACACACACACACACACACATATAGAGGGGCATTCAAATACAACCCCTCTAGATTATACAACCGATGCCACCCACCTATCCACCATCCATCTTTTTATTTTCTTTTTGGTTTTTTTAATTAAGGGTAGTTACAATCAATCAAATGGTAACCATTGATGATCAAATGGACGCTCCTGATTTGGTTTTAATGGTTGTAGGAATGTAAAGAGTTGCATAATAACTCACCTCTCTCTCTCTATATATAGGGGGAGTTTCAAATACAAACTATGTATATCTTACAAACTTCACAAACGATCTCAATCATACATCTAGATAATCAACCTTGTGGATTAAATGAGTTCCTAAATTTACTCTCAACCGCATTTTATAACCGCCTCTAAATTTTAAAATAAACAAAATCAAGGGTTGAGATTAGTTTTTTAGAGTTTGTAAGAATTACATGGTTTGTATTTGAATTTCCCCCTGTATATACATATATAGAGAGAGAGAAGTTGCATAAGGAAACCAGGAACCACCCACGTCGCGTCATGTGTCCCACTTTAGGATGAATATCCATCATGAATAACACATTCTTGATGAATATGTTACCATATTTATGATGAATACGTTACCACATTTATGATGAATATGCCATATGTCGCGCTCTTTGGGCAGTCCCCCAGTTTCTAATGGAACTTGCCCATATATAATCATTTTGTCTATTGTTTATGTGAAGTCATTTGAACAGAGTTTTTCATGTTCATATGAGTGAGTCTGCTGCCCTCGTTGTGTGTCTTCAAGAACTCTTATTGGATGTCATGTCTTTGAAAGAATACTGTAGCACATAGAAACGAATTGTTCAAAACCATCGATTTTTGCCCGTTGTTTTGCATTTTTACAAAATTAAAGATTTGAAAAGTGTTGCTTTTCTTATTGGTTTGTCATATGTGATGGTGTTAAAGTTAATGGTCTGCCAACAATCTATTGTGTGACCATATGTGGAAAACCACATTTTTTTGTGGCAAGAAGACATGGTTACATAGGAAAGATTTTATTTTGTTGTCACGAATCGTATTCGTTATGTACACTCACACGTCACCATATCACGAGTTGTCGGTTTGTTATGATTCGCCTTTTGGTTGGATTTCTTTCTTTGAAGGGGTTATGGATTCGAACACACTTCAACAGCTTTCATGTCTATTGATTCTTTTATTTGTTTCCATTGGTTTGCAAGAACATTTGCCAACAGTTCTGTTTAGATGTGAATTGATTCGATAAAATGTTGCGTGTGCAGGTGGCCATCGTCATCGGGGTTTTGCACTTTTGCATATCGAACTTATTTGTCGTTTCGGCATTTTTTTGTGTGGGAATGCTCACTTTTTCCTGTTGTGCTGAACCAAGCTTTAGCACAAAGTTATGTTGGTAGTCATGCTAAGGGAAAGCTACAATGATTTTGGAAGAAATGGATTTCGAAAACGGATCTGTTAAATGAATTAGAATGAACGTTTAATCAAGTTTGATCACAAGTTTGGTTGTAAAATTTTTAAAAGTAATCTATTTGTTTGATTCCAGGTTCAAATCCAAGAAAGGATAAAAATCCCCTTGTAGCCACGAAGGTTCAAATGCGGTGACTCCGGGCTATCTGCAAAGCAGGTGGTCGTTCTGGGTTTAGTCGGCTCGCATGGCGGGTTGGATATCCAGGTTAATAAAAAAAATTGAATAAAATAATTTTTAATGAATAAAATATCATTTTAATATAAAGATTTTGATGATATCTTATTAACGGTGGAATTTAAAGATTTATAATATAGTATTTTACTTGAGCATAATTAATTTGTAATCTTGAATTTTTAAGTAATATGCATCAATAAACAGTACTTCATGTATAAAAAATAGTTTTTAAGAGGTTTTGTCAAATATTTTATAATATAGTATAGATAAACATCAATTTTTTTTATCTTTCCAAAACAATGTCAATTTTTACGTTTAAACGACATATAATTCTATACTAGTAATCACCCACTTTTAATTGTTGCATCTGTACAAGAGTTGCAACAAAACGTAGTTCAAACACAAATATATTGATTAAAATATTTAATAATTAAAATTTTATACAACCACGTCACTGTATCAACAAAAGTTTCAACGAACAACCAAGTCAATATTATAATTTCTTTTACAAGTTTTAATTATGGAAAATTGATTACGTCGGCTCTAAGTGTTCGAGACAAAACATGTTCGATGTGGCCGATACCACATGGACCTATTTTTTTCATACGGTTGTTCTTTCTTTTATAAGAGACTTTTTAAAAGGCATATATCGGGGTTTTTTTTTTCTTTCCCACGTATACTTCTAAGTACTTCCAAGAAAACACTGTCTAGTTAGCGTTCTAGTGAGAAAAAGAATACTAGCAAGAAGGGGTTGAAGGCTAGCACCATTTTCGGGTCGTGACGTTTCTTGGGTGTAGACTATTCCGCAGAGGGAGGCTACGTTGGCTCTTTGTCGTGAACGCCCTATGGTTGATTTTTGTTTCTTAAATTTCATGTATGTGGATCTTTGGTGGGAATTTTAAATAGTTAAAATTGTTGTATGTTTATGTTTCCATTGTTATGATATAAAATTGTTTTAAATCCTCATACATTATATATACTCATAAGGTTTCTCACTTTATTATTATACTTGATATATATATATATATAGGGTTGGGTTCACGTGAGACCAAAAGTTTTTCGTGAGACCCGTAAGACCAATTTATGTTCATTGATCAAATTTATAAACTAATGATCTAATAGTCTAAATTTGCAAGGTGACAATTTTGTAATTATTGAAAAGTCTCGTGGCATTTATAAATGTTCAGATCTGACGATTGTAAATCTAATCCAAGGGTTGAGAATTGGTCTTACGGGTTTCACGAAAAACCATTGGTCTCACATGATCCCAAGTATATATATATATATATATATATATATATATATATATATATGTATATATATATGGAGCGTTCAAATGAAAACTGCTTTCATTTGTGTAAACCGTACAAACTATCCTCATACGTCCATTTCATTATTTAATCTTATGAAATTTTTTCATGAAATTGTTTCATATAATACTTTTTTTGATGAATTTATTTCATATATGGTTATGAAATTGTTTCATGTAAATTTTAATGAAACTGTTTCATGAATTTTTCTAAAATTAAAATAATGAAGATGATAATATTCATGATTAACACCCTCCACAATAAAAATGGTTAATCAACCTCTCATAATTATAAAAAAATGAACAAAATTAAAAATTATGATTGGTTGAATATGGTTTTCACGATTTATACAAATTTGATGGTTTTTATTTGAACGTTCCCCTATATATATATAAATACACATACATACATTCTTATTTGTATATTTAATCATTAGGATAGAGGATGAAGGGTATCCCCATTCTCAGTTTATAAATTCGGGAATTCCTCATCCCTGATCAATTTGGGGATTTTCTGATCAAACCGGGGTTGGGTATCAGATTCCTCTTTGGATACGGTTTTTTTTTTTGCTATCCTTAGGGGAGAGAGTCAACTTGTTCGCTTTTACATTAGGCTCTAGTTGTTCTTTGATGATTGTTCCTTCGGTTTCCCTTTGTTACTTCTTTACACCTTTTCAGTTCGCAAGGTTTGTGATTTCCTTCATTTTTTTCGAAAGGAGGACAGAACCTCTGGAAAAGTTTATTAAGAACACAAACCAAACAATACCACCATTGTACGGAACAACCATCGAAACAAGACAACCAACTGGAGGGTCCCGCCTCGCTAGAAGTAGTACCAATTACAAGCCTCGCACCTAAAAATAGGTGGTTAGAACACCCACCATACCGAACCACCATAAGCCAAAATAAAGTAAGGCTAATGCAAAACAAAACCGACAATGATAAGCCAACCATCCAAGATAGTCAAGAGTTACTGCATTTGAACCTCCGTGGTCATAAAGAGATCTGTATTCCTCTTTAGATTTGAATCTGGGACCTCCTAGTACTTTTGACTTTTGAAGTCAAGTTCAAACCAATCAGACACCACACCCTTATGGTTGAAAATAAGTTTTTTTTTATAAAGGTGTTAATTAGATGTGCTTCTATAAATTATTAAATTCACTCATACTTATTAATTATTATTTTTTACACTAAGATATCAAAATTAATTTTAATATTTTAAGATATGATTTAATCTAATTTTAATATAAAAATAATTGCCTTTTGTTAGCCCCTTTACACCCTTTGTCATAATATTTTATACATTTTATTTTTAAAAATATATTTTATTAAATTATTTATTAATTTAAATAAGTTATATTATTCTATGCACCGACGTATACAAGAGGAGAGAACTCTTCGTCCCTCAACGATTTTTGCTGCTTTGCAATAAAAGCCTCTACGGTTCGCCGGAATTCTTCACTGCTCATTTTATCCTCCGCGTAACCGCCGCACCGGTGATCTAGATTCTTCAACCTTCTCCTCTCCGTCACCGACCGCCTCAGTTTCCGGTGAGTTTCATCGTCTCCACGTTTTACTCTCGTTAAATCCTCCGATCGACTTCTGCAAATCGTATATCCATTATTCGGAACAATAACAGTAGTGTCGCTAGGTGTAGTAGTAGTAGTAGTAGTAGTAGTACTATTGATTAAGCTCTTCTCATAGCTTTTAAAGTACTCGTTGTAAAAATCGACTCCTCCATTATCATCATCGCCGTCGCCATTTTTAACCAGGCGAGACTTAAACAATAGAAGTAAGATAATCGCGTTTCCTGTGACGAAAGCGAACATAGGACTGCAATTTGTGAATGAGAGTCCTCTGAAATGATAGCCGGAGAAGTTACCGCCGAACGGTAGTTGAGCGGAAAACCTGGAGATCATAGTTAGGAAGACAAACATATCCATAAATCGGAACAAAATCGCGATTTTTTTAAGACTACGATACCGTAAGATCGCTTTAGATTTCTGCATTCTGATATCGTAAGACCTCATATTCCGATCGAGATGAAAATCCTAATCTTTCGTTGATGATGGAGATTTCAGTCGAAATAGCAGTGATTAGGATGAAGAACTTAGGTCGACGCTCGATGAATCATTTGTTGCAAAAAAGGGATAACTGAACTGTGTTTCCCCAATTCCGCTTCTCTGTTTAAATGGATATGGGTCGGAGGTGAGGACTGAGGTGGTGTGAATTTATAGCTCAGAAAAGAATTGAGTGCTTATCCGCCTAAAATCGAAGGTCCATCTGGCATGCCAGACATAAAATGATGGAAGGAAGTTAATATTTTATTAATATCTATAACTATCTTATAAATCAGATTTTATTAAAAATCTAAAAAACAGTTTTTAATGTACAAATTACTATACATTTATGTATAAAGTCTTAAAAATAACTCATAATACATTAAATACTATTACTTTATGTGTTTAGTCTTAAAATCTTTTAATCTACAATTAAAACAACATATAGTGTATGTTATCACTGCACATTATTATCTTTTCTTTTCATGTTTCCAAAATACTTTTCATATCTTTCACTCATGCATTCACTCTCTCATACCTCTATGTCTTCTCCCCATCCCCCAATGTGAGATTCAAACTGATATTCACTATGAGTTATTAAAAGTTTTCTCATTCATCTCTCATTCAATTGCTCTAGAACTTTCGGTCTCGATCTCGATCTCTTGATTCTTTACTTTTGGTGTAAATCGAACACATTTGTTGAGTCGTTTAAATATGTTGGATTTTAAAATGTCATACAATTTTTTTTTCATCGATAAACTGTAATTGGAACCATAACTTTTATTTATTCAAATTGTATTGATATGTAAAGACCAAGTGTAACTTATATCATCGTTAAATCTTCTCAAATAAAACCAATGAAACTTCAAAATAGTTAAAATTCACGGCTCCCGCCGCATTGCACGGGTACACAACTAGTATTTTTAACATAAAACTAAATTTTCTTCTAAAACATTAAATACGTCTTTTTTTAAAAAATATATAATGTCTATATATAACAAATAGAACAAATAAACTCACACACTCTCCTCAAATTTGATGAAATTTAAACTCCTAACCTTTTAAAAAGCCAAATACTCATATAACGCTAAGTCAAAATCCCTTTACTAACATTAAATACGTCTTTGTTTTTACCACTTCATCTATTTTTCAAATTTTATATATTTATTTTATACTCGTTAAATTCCACGTCCTTAAAGTTTCACTTTTTATATATTTTAATTAATTTATTATTTATTAATAATAAAAATATAATATAAAAAATTATAAAATAAAATTTAGAAATTCCATAAATTTCATATTTTTATGTCATTTCACTGATATTGTTAATGTTGCATTTTTGTTATTAAAATCTCTATTTTTATCATAATATTTAATAACTTACATATATTAATCAAATTATAAAAGAAAGATATATAATTCGAAATGGGAATTTGAAAGAAGTAGAACGAAAGCTTAAAGAAGATAAAATATTTATAAATGTGATTTTAGATATTTTTAATTTTATAAACAAAATATAAAACAATAAATGTTGAAGTCTTTTGATTTTATGAAATGTGAGCTTTTTAATCAATATTTAAGTTAGATGTTTTTTGTATTTTTAAATGTTATTATTTTCATTTATATTGATTATTTTGTACAAAAAAACTAAACAATTCATTAGGGGTAAATTGGTCATTTTACCAGTCCTATTTTGTCCAGGCATGTATTATCGAACGCTAAGCAGATATTCTGTTTTGTTCTGTCATGTCTGATTATTAAATGCACCCCCAATATGTTTCTTTTTTAAGCAAAATAGTTATATACTTTAATTTTCTTTCTGTCATTTTACGGTGTATATAACAACATGTGTTTTTTTAAGTATATAGTATTTATATATAGCAAATAAACTCAAACACACTTTCTATTTTTTGCTGAGGTTTGAAGCTCTAACTTTTTAGGGGGACTGTGGCGTTTGATTTACATAATAGAATCTGTCGAAACTGAAGCATGTCAAAGGAATTTGAATGGATTTTAATCACGTTTAACCATGAACTTGATGTGCAAGGATTTAGAATGGAATGTACCAATAGAATCTGAATATGATTATTTGATTTGTTGAATATAATAGTGGTGGTGGGATGGAGGTGGTAGTGGCGGCGATGGTAGTAGTGGAGGTGACGATGATAATGGCAGTAATACTAACATGGTGGTGGTGGTGGTGATGACAACAGTGGTGGAAACGGTAAGGAAACGGTAATTAACAATTAAAACCAACTTAAAAATTGGTCCATCGATACTATGAATTGTAACTTGTTGTCGGACATGTAAATAAACTGCAGCGCCTGATAAGTTCACTGTTGCCGGTAACCGATTAAGCCGGTCTCTGCTCCTGGTTATAAGTTCGAAACGTAAGGCTCACTTCTAACTGAAATTTTTTATATGTCTAGTATTAAGGATAAAAAAATCAAACCAATCACACATTTCTTAAACTGTATATCTCCTTTTAGTTATTGAATGAGTAAGGGGGCGCTTGGTTCGCAGATTCTAAAGAAATCTGATAGAATTGAAATATTGAATTTCATTCATCAAATTTCATTCCCTTGTTGGGTTCATTTTTTTCACGAAATGAATCTTCAAAATCCTACAAATTTCACAAATAAAGAAATTTAACATTCCTTAGCAACTACATGATATTTTGATGAAATGAAATTTTTTATATTTTCATAATGCCAAATATGTAATTAACCCATTATACCCTAATCTCATAAAACTCAATATGTCCATCGCCGACCACCTTCGATGACCGTTAATATGAATCACCACCGACCATCATCATCTGAACCACCGCCGACCATCGCCATCTGAACCACCGCCGACCATCGCCATCTGAACCACCACCGACCACTACTAATTTGAACCACCACCGATCTGATCCACCGTCAATCTGAACCACCGTCGATCACCGCCATCTGAACCACCACGAACCATCATCGATATGTAAATGAAACCCTTTAGCATTTATGTATAAATCAAACATCATAAATTTTATAAAATTGTAAATTAATACTTTTAGTAGGCATTTAAATTAAAATATAAATAAAAGTTTCCACTATCCTTTTCTTTCGTTTTAGCTTTCTAAAATAATGTTATGCCCACGTGGCCCCAACTTGAGAAATTATTAGGGTTAGAGTTGGAGACATGCTTTTTTTTTTTTTTATCACTATGGATTATTTCATATTTAAACCAATTAAATAATTATTTCCACGTCATTATTTTCTTCTATATTTTATTAATAAAATCATAATTTACAATAAAAGTAAATCATATAAAATGAAACATAATATAATATAAGTATATAATCATATCAGAATGGAAGACTTAAACATCTAAATCATAAAGGTAAACGCGACAGGTTCGATTACAAAACAGTATTGTTCATAAAATACTATAGTTCTACGTCATTAGCGTTTTGTAACTTGATTTTTAATATTAAGCAGTTGCTCTTTCGTTATAGGAAAGTATTAAAGCACATTTATTCCTCAAGTTGTCGACTGTGTCAGTCGGAAGTGCATACGGCATTCAGCTTCCTCTACCCATACTCAGCCTAACCTACTCTTGAATCACACCTTTGACACTATCAATCACTTTTTCACTAAGGATTCGTTTGGTACACTGGACATGACAGAACAGAGCAGGACATGGATCCATGTCCAATGTTTGACATGAGTTTTATGTGAAACAGATAGAAAAAGAGTAGAACAAAGTGGAAAAGGCATGTTCCACCCTTACACCATGGAACATGGTGGAACAAACTTATATTTTACAAATATAACCTCAAAATAAAACTTAATTATCTTCTAAAACATCAAATAGGTCTTTTGTTTACATTTTATTCATTCTTTAAATTTTATTTATTGTATTTTATGTTTCTTAAACTTTCATTTTACCGTACTCAAAATATTATTTTTATATGGTTTCTATATTTTTATTAATTTATGTAATTTATTATATATTAATAATAATTAAAAATTGTAGAAAAGAGATAAAAATAAGAATTGGAAACTACATAAGCTTTTTATTTGGTGTCATTTTAATTGTTTTGATGAAAACTTTCTAATGATATATTTTGTTATAAAAAATAATTATTCTATCATAATTTAATAAATTACATAAATTAATTAAAATAAACAACTCATCAAAACAAAAACTTGCAGTGTAAGTATTTATTTATCATCATCATATCTGCATATTATACATACGCGTGTATCTAAATTTGGGGAATTATTTGAAATTCACTTACGATCCATGGAGATGATACTAAACTCGCTTAAACACTACTTATTTAAGTTACACACAATCATTAATCACTTTACTGATCATTAAGCGATATCTGATATTGAAACGAACTCATAAAATTGGTTGAACAGTTAACGTGACTTCCCACGCAACCTGTCGGTTACTTTCAAACTCATATATGTTCATGCAAACTCAAAAGCTTGTGAGTCGGAACTGGCATTGATTTGGTCAACATAACCTATCATATGAGCATGTTTACGCAATTCGAACTCGTTTGGTCCTCAACATTCACAAGTTGACCTAATGAGTTTCCATAACTCATGTTCAACTATCTAGATATAAACGGCAACAGGGTTTGGAGATACCAGGGGATAGGGGATCCCCATCCCTGTCCACGATCACCAAACCCATCCCGAGCGGATAATATAATTGCACCCGAATCCTTGTTCGAAGATCCCTAACAGGGAATCAAGGATTTTTCATCGCTTACTCCCATTATGGATTTTTTTCCTAAAAAAATAGAAATATACTATAAGAGGAGTAGTTATGAACCCTGTAAACCATCCACATGAGAGTGGTGAATGAATGACCCTAATTAGACTGAGCAGTTTTTAGATATCAAACTGACATTCCTGTATCTGACAAAATAACAAATATACTACACTTTTTTTTTAATTTGAAGAAATTTCTTTTACATGTCTCACAATGATTTTTTCACGAATCAAATAATTATTATATGAACCACAAACAAGGGTGGTGTCTGATTGGTTTGAGCTTGACTCCAAATGTCAAAAGTACTAGAAGGTCACAGGTTCAAATCCAATGAGGAATAAAATCCTCTTGTGGCTACGGAGATTCAAATGCGGTGACTCCGGGCTATCTGCAAAGCAGGTGGTCGCCCTGGGGTTAGTCGGTTCGTATAGCGGGTTGGATATCCAAGTTAATTAATTTTTTTTTATTATATGTTGATTAATTAAAATGTGCAATAATTCTATTAAAAAAAACATATCATGTATTTAGTTATTAAAATAACGTATTAAATAAAACGTCAAATATATGTTTGTAAGAAAGTGGGCTAATAGCAAGCCCATCAGATTTATGGGCTTTCACGACAACGCATACAAAAAGCCCTAATCCTTAGGGTTTGCAATCAAGAGAGCGAACCACCATCATCACCACCACCACCTTCCCCTGTTCGTCTGTTATTCTCTCTGCGCCGGAGCTCGTTGTTTCTCTAAGCTGCTCAGATGGTGCGTTTCCATTGTTCTTATTTGGATTTATACACTAAATTGTTGTTTCAGGTCGTAAATTCTAATGATTTTTTATGAATTTTTGCAGGCGCCGAAGAAGGAAAAGGCTCCTCCACCGTCCTCCAAGCCAGCCAAATCCGGCGGTGGAAAGCAGAAGAAGAAGGTCATGCTTTTACTGATGATTATGTTATATGTGTGTTTGTTTTTATAGTCTATAACATTGAATGTATTTGAATCTAATGGATCGTGTGAGAAAATTGCAGAAGTGGAGCAAGGGAAAGCAAAAGGAGAAGGTGAACAACATGGTGTTGTTCGATAAGGCTACTTATGACAAACTGCTCTCGGAAGCCCCCAAGTTTAAGCTCATCACTCCTTCGATTCTATCGGATCGTCTTAGGGTAAATTTTCTTACACCGCCATTTGTTTCAGATTATAATGCTTATATTTATATAATCATCTCCATGAATGCTCTACTTTACTGTTGGAGTAATTCATCACTTGAGATTCCATTGATTGCATGAACGATTGTAACCTGCTAGTAGGATATCATAATCGGTGTAGAATTTCCAATTACTTTTACCCAATTGTTGTTGATTCCAATTACTTTTAGCCAATTGCTGATTCACTGGTTTTCTATTTCATGTTCTTACCTTTGATTCGTTTTGTGTTATTAGTTATTGAACCTTTTTCTTAGCATTACGTGTTTGAATTAAAATTACTAGCTAATTGTAAATTGAATAGGAGTATATAAAAAAACTCTTATGTACAACATTTGTAACAATCAAGGTGATAATTGTGGTTAAAATTGGAGTTAGTAAGGGAGCTCAAATGGTAAATTGGCATACTTGTAGCTTTTTACTGGCACGGTGAGCTTCAAATCGTTGGTCATCCCAGATTAATCTATGCAATGCATGATTTGATGATTATTTAGAGAACTTCTTGATCATTGTTTTCTTACCTCCATGCTTCGTTGCTGGCTTATCCTACCATGTTATGCGTTTTCTTCAAATGGGTTTGATATTATACTGTTGGCTGATTTGTCAACTCTCAGTCTTAAATGGGCGTGTTTACATGATTCATATATGGACTTTTAAACACTCTTGTTTGTGCGATGACACAAATTGTGTTTTTCTAGCTTTAAAAGAGGAAGCTTGATTGCATATTTTGTGCAATGGTGTTCTAATTTATGTTTTACATTCTAATGAATCTGCACAATATTTTTGTATCTGTTTTCTGATCATGCGAATTGAGTGCATCTTAGGGGCTGTTTAGCAATTGCTGAATGATTTGGTGCAGAATGATTAAGAGGCTCTCATGATATAGTGTAAAATGAAATATAATTGTTTGGTAATTGTGTACAATGAAATTAGGGCTCTTAATGGTTAAGGGAGATCCAAGATACAAAATCATTCGGATTGTTTTAGAACCATTAAGAGGCATATTTTTTTTGCCAAACAAGATTCACCTCTTAACGATTCAGATGTTGCCTCTTAATGGAACTATTATGAGGTAAACAAACAAGCCCTTAGCTGCGTATTCCTTGACAAGTTGGTGGAATGAATTCTCATTTTCATTTGCTGGTCTTCCCATTTCCATTCCCTGAAATGAACCAAATGCTCCTCGAAATATGGTTTGGATAAATCAAAACAGCCAAGTATGATTTGAATCTGCTTTTCATGCACCTGCGTTTTGAACAATTTATACGTGCAAATTGATATTTGTTTTCAGTTTTAAAGTCCCTTGTGTTTTCTTGGATCAATCGTAATCTTATTTTGCATATGGTTATGGCAGATTAATGGATCTCTTGCAAGGAAAGCAATCAAGGATTTGATGGCGAGAGGTGCAATTCGGATGGTTTCTGCACACGCAAGCCAGCAGATATACACCCGGGCTACCAATACTTGATTACTGTTTTTGCTATCATCAATTCACATTTGAGTTAGTTTTAGCTTCATTTTCCCTCATCATATGCCTTTTTGACTTGCCAATTTTCTTTCTTTTGATGAGGATTTGCTAATGACTCTTGTTTGGTATCGATTTTTTCCGGATTGTGTTTGTTGGTGGTTTTAAAACGTCAGCGAGTGGTCTCAATATGTTGAACGTGTAGAAATGATTGGTTTGAATTATGGGAATGATCATTAAAACGGTTAAAAACAGCCAAAGATCGGTCCACTGTTACTATTAACTATCTGTACAGTGTACACCGGATGGAAACTGTCGATTTTGGTCATTTTATCTCAAAGCAAATGCATGTCAATCGTGAAGTAGAGTTGGAGAGAGGTTTACTGAGTCTTTAAAAAATTGTTGGTTGGATTGTATTTGTTGGTCATCAAGACTGAGAGGTACCAACACTTGGATAAATATATTCCATTAGAGAGCGGTTTGCCGGTTTGGTGAACCCGTTTTGCATGTAGCCGGTTACGGCAGGCCCGTTAAGGTTGCTGGTGCGAGATGGTTAAGCCGGTCTTCGGTCCGGTTTTATTTTCAAGATGTAAACTGTAAAGCTCGTTCCTAACTGGTGTAACTGATCGGTTAACTAGCGTAAACGATTTACCTAAGTCCAATTTCTTTAATAATCAATAAGTACATTATAATAAATAAGATAGTAATATTATATATTTTAATCAAATAAGTTTTTATTTATTTGATTATAAAAAATAAAACTTATTTAAATTGACGAGTTGAGTTTTATATTAGCATTTTTTTTATTAATTTGGATATTCAACCCATTATACAAGCTTACTAATTATAGGACGACCACTTGCTTTACAGATTTCTCGGAGTCACCTTATTTACAATCCTAACGATTACAAACTTTACAAATAAATATTGTTTTTATGAACTTTTTTAATACGTTTATATACCAAACCTTTGTTAATAAAAGACTAAGAGGGTGTTTGAGATTGCTCATTTAAACTGTTTATTGACTTATTCCGGTGTGGTACAAATAATAAGCAGTTTTTAGTGTTTGAATGAGAAAAAAAAAAATTCTTATCCCGGTACCAAACCGGCAATAAGGAGTTTTGATAAGTTACTCATTTTCTAACTTATCAGATTCAACTTATTATGTGTGAAAACCAATTTACCATTTTAACCCTAATCTATCTTCTCCTCACCCTCGAGTGACCAGTGAAATCGAAATCGACCTTCACCTTCACCTTCACCTGCAAAATGGAAATTGACCTTCACCTAAGGATGCTCAAAAACCCGTCCAACCTAATCAATCCAACCCAACGCGAAATAACTCAACCCGAAGCAACCCGATGTCTAATCGAGTTGTAAAATTTTCAAACCGTAGATATTGAGTTACTATTATTTGAACTCAATCCAACCCAATGAACCCGGTATCTTTTTATTTCTTGAATTTAATGATTGTTGAATTTTTATTAATATATACATGAGACCATTACACTTTCACGTACACTCTTCATATACACATATTTTTAATCTATTCGCATATCTATAAAACTCATTCGTATATATGTTCAGTAACTGTGAACGTATATATGTAAATTGAGAAAATTAACTGAATGTGATATACGTAAGAAGTATGGATAAGTTGTATCAAATGGTTGATGATGAAAAAGAAATTATGAATAGAGAAATAACATGTTCAATGTTAGAAGAATATTTTAATGTATCAACCCGACCAACCCATACGGTTTGGGTTGGGTTGGGTTAAAATTTTTCAAACCACAAACATTGGGTTGAGTTGTTCAAATGTCTTCAACCCGATCAATCCAACTCATGAGCACTCCTACTTTCACCTATAAGATATTGTAAAATTTTAAAGAAAAAACTCTAACCCTAATTCTTCGTGGATTTGCTTCCGCAGTTCCTCAAGCTTATTCTGTTTAGCCTCATGCTTCTGCTCCAAACATTTATATGTTCCCTAGACTACCCATGTGCCATCCTTTCTTAAAATCAAAACCGAAATCGACCTTCACAATTGAAATCGAAATCGAAATTCGACCTCCAACTGCAAACATGTTTTTCGCTGACGATCAAACTCTTGGACCTTGTTTTTAGCTGACGATGGGGATCTCAGCAAATCAATCAAACCCTTAGTCCCTGTCTATGGCCGACGATGAGGATCTCTTCAAATGATCGAACCCTTGATCCCTGTTTTTGGCCGACTATAATGAAGATCTCATGTCATTTTTGGTCATTTTACATGTATAAACAAAAAATTTCAAATATTTAAAAACAACTTATTAGCTTATTACATTTTGATATGATAATAAAAAATCCAAATATTTTTTAAATAAGCAATCGGAGACACCCACCAATGATTAATTTACTCGGGCTCCTCATGGACAAATGCGCCTTAGAACTTGATAGTGGCCCACACGGAACTTTAGAAAGCCACGTGGCAACACAAGAGTACACGTGGACATGCCTCAGCAAGATCACCATTCCGGAAGCAACATACAGAAAAGAGAAGCAGAAGCTATCAAGATCACAAGATGAATCGCTAATGGATCTCAGAAAGGTAGAGGAAATAGTGAAAGATTCCAAAGGTGGAATCATCGAGAAGAAAGAAGCAATCATATCAACCTTATCCAATCCCAATTCCGACACCGATTCCCCTCATCATAACGATTCCATCGCCGGTGATGCCGATCCGACTACACCACCGGTTGATGCCGCTAGTGCTCTTCAACTCTTCCTTGATCACATCCCAATCTCCTCCATTCCTGGAATCCACAATTCCCCCTCCACAGGTACCTTTCCCATCGCATGTCATATGATCATCTGTGTCTATCTACGTACGAACACTCGATTAGGGTTTTCAGTGACTCTGGTACACTCCGATCATCGCTGAAATTCTCGATGTGGATGTCATGATTGATGTTATGATTTCAACGTGTGGTAGGTTTAGTAGTGAGAACGCATGAACGCGTCAAGGATGGGATTAGGATGTTGTATGAGAAGAATGTTAGTGGAGCTCTAATTGCGGACAGTTCGGAACCAGATCCGACCGCCAGCTTCAACACGTCATTCTCCCATCCCTATGTCGGATTCATTAGCTTTTCTAATATGGTTCTGTGGTGTCTCCAGGTATTCCTTGGTTTGATTATTCCTCCATTTTCTAAACTGATCGATAAAAGGGAATGTGTTTGATTCTGCTGGTTAAATTAAATGCATCAATAATAGTTATACTATCATTTTTGCATCCCTATCTATTTTATTAAACCTTCTGCAACGATGATCATGGTGTCAGCAAAATGTTCATCCAACGATGTTTCCACCCCAAGCATCTCTTCCATTCTTTATAATTCCAAATTTTCATGTGAAGAATCAAGTATTAAACTAAAACATATTGATCAACGAACTGTTGCAACTCTAGGAATTTAGACAACATCAAAGTGGGACCAAGAAGGATAATGCTAAAAGTTCGAAGAAGACTAAGCCACGCGGATTCTTCTCCTTGCTTGATAAAATTCCAGCGGTTTCTGAGACTAAGGTCTGCTCTCTAAACTGTATTAACATCAACAAATGTACCTTATTTTCTTCACGGAAACAACCTCCCTACTCATTGGGTAGAGGTAAATTCGAGTGGGATTTACTGGTCCGTTTGGTTTGGTTAAGGGTGGTGATTTTCTAATTAAAAAACAACTCAAAAGTTGGCATTTTCTTTCCTTGGATAAGGTTGTATGAACCATTTTTACATAATTTGATATTGTTGATGTGATCCAGATAGGCGAACTAGCGGCATCGTTTTTATGGGATCCCGTCTTCCCTGTAAAACTAGACCAGACGCTCTTCCATGTTCTTTTGTTGCTATCTAAGCATCGGCTGAGCGTGGTCCCTGTGACTGAACGTTCCAGTTCGAAGGTTGTGGGCTATGTTACCGAGGTAACTCAATTGGTTTCGTACATGTTACTAGTTGCTCTCTGGTGCATTACATGTTTACAACTGTAGCAACTATTTCATCACATGGATAGAAGCTTAAGTTTGATATCTTTTTTGGTAGAATTCGGTAAACCATATACTCCTACAGTCGAGCGGACTAGAGTGGTTTGACAGCATTGCAGATAAACCATTGTCAGATTTCAGGTTGCAACTTGCAAATTCTTCATCTACATTTAGACAAATGCACCATAGTCATATGTTGATTTAACATTGAACTTTATCCAATTTGACAAATGTCTTTGTCATTGCTTTCCAATTAACGGTTGTGGTTAAAGTTTAGGTGGGAAAATCTAACATATAAACCAATGGGTCGTTGGCCCAGTGGTACCCGAGTTAATGGTAGACCCTGACCTCCCAAGAGGTCAAGAGTAGTATTAGCCGTATATAAATATTATATATTTAAAAAAAAATATGACATATAATGCACATAAGCATTTAATCATGATAGGTGAGTAATCTGATATGATAATGTTTTTAGTGAAATTCTAAAAGATATATTTGTCAAATTGGTTAACCATCATCTTTGTTTGATAATAGACCCTTTTGTTGACAGCATTCGGCTCATTTTCAAAGCTTCTTGTGCAGGTTTGAGCATAATGACAGAGTTGTTTCAATCTACAATGATCAAAGCATTTCGGAGGCAGTTCATATTTTATGGAAGAAAAAAGTCTGCGCCATTGCAGTAGTTCAACGACAAACGGAGAAGCTCATTGGATGTGTCAGGGTCAGTGACATTCATCGTCTTTTGGATGATGATCGCATCTTTACTGATAGAGAGTACGTATTCTATCTTTATCAACATATTACATTATAGGACAACTCAAAGCGAGTACGTATTCTATCTTTGTCAACATATTACATTATAGGACAACTCAAAGAGAGTACGTATTCTATCTTTATCAACATATTACATTATAGGACAACTCAAAACTAGTATTGGGAACATCAAGGATGCATTACCTTGAGGGCCAACTCAACTGGCAAATAAAGGCCAAGCCATGGGGCTCCTCTCCGTAGGTCGCCGATTCGAGCATCTTTGGGTCACTGAGGATTTTCCTGGTTGTTATCTTCTGGGCCCCATGGGATTAGTCCAGGTGTGTACAAGCTGGCCTGACACCCACAATTATGGGGAAGAACATTAGGGATGCATTGTCGAATTGTACTATACCCAAGAAGTTGTAGTTCGAGCATTTCTTATATAACATCTAGAAAACCATCATGTCTAAAGAGAGATCTTCTAAACACTCTGGAATGGGGGCAAAAGCTCTTGTTGTACACCATTAGTAAATCCCTCATAATTCACCAAGTAATATACAAGTACGAGATTCAAACTTAGAAACCAGTGGAACGTTGTTCTTGATGTCAGTATTGAGTGTGAACCATGAGCCACTTACAAGCCCTTACGGGCTGCTAATATTTTGCTACTATAGTTTTAGGGGTTGTTTACCGACTGCTGACCACTCTCATCCGATCAGCACGCTTGAGGTCAACATCAACATGTTTACCTAGGAACTGATTTGATTGAAGGTGCTGACCGAGCACCTGTCCTGTTAGCATTATTGTTTCACTTACCGGGTCAGCACCCAGATAGCACTCTTACACGTTAGCGCTTACCCAATATGTGTTGGTAAACGATTGCTTACTTGTACCTTACGACAGAAATGGCATTTCGAGGTGTCACAATTTGCACCTTATGGATCTCTTGGTGGTTTTAGTTTTTTGAACTTTGAATATATTATACGTTATCTTGAAAAAGCTCACACCACTTTGACTAAACCCGATCTAGCCAGCCATTTATAACCACATCTATTTTGGTTTGAGTTTACAGAGATACGAGTGTGGAGCAATTCATTCACACAGACACGGATTCAGACAAGCAGCATGAGATCGACCACGACCTCGGGGCTCTTATATCTGCAGGAACTCTTGCACTACACTATAAATTCGAACCCAGAATGGATAGGCCGGTGACGAACAAAGAAACGGATACCCTGAAACAAGCGATGCAGAATTTAAGAGAAATGAAAAGCAGTTTTAGTTACATTATAGATGAATATGAAAGAATAAGAGGAGTAGTTACATTAAGAGACATTCTTGTGCAGTTTGCTCCCCCTTGTATGGACTCAAGGATTGATGGTGGTGGTTTCTTTGATATGGCTTTGAAGGAATCTGGGTGCACCATTAGAGATGGAACCATGGTTCATCTTAAATGAAATTATATGGAACCATGGTCCATCATGGTGGTGGTGGTTTGGTTTCTTTGACATGGCTTTGAAGGAATCTGGGTGCACCACTAGAGATGGGAGTCATGGTTCATCATGTTGAATGAATCTTATGTCACATAAGTTTTTGATGTCATCTTGTCGATAAGTTGGTTAATTGAACTTGTGTTACATTTGTGATTGTAATTAGTCTTGTATGCCCTTTTACAGTATAAGTTGTAGGTCGACTTGCTTAAGGCTAGGCGTAAATGATTCGAGCTATTAACGAGTTACTCGAACTCGAACTTAATTATTGAGCTGGAGTCGATCTTGGACACAAAATAGAACTTGTTTAAATTAACGAGCCGAGCTTTACGACACAAATGTTTGACTACACTCACTCGAAAACTCGATTAAATATCTCGAGCCGAGCAATTCAAGCATTTGACTTTTTCGAGTCAAACATGTTCATAAACCATACACAAAAATGTAACTATTATCAAACTCAAACCAATAAACGACTTAATCAATCGTGAGTTCGAGCCCTTTAATGAACATCGAATTTGATAATTCAAAAATTATTCAAGTTCAAGCCTGGTTTCTTTTTTCGAGCCGAGTTTGAATGGCCTTGACTTGTTTACACCCGTAGGCGGGTCATTGAAAAATGTAATGTTTTTTGGTCTGTATGATGTATTTCTAAAATCTTTATTTTGATACTTAGGGCCTGTTTACCAAACGCTTATCCGGGTAAACGCTTACCAAGTAACATTACCTCACCGGATGAATATAGTAAGGACCAAGAACCTTACCCGATAAGAGCAAGACAAGGATCAAGAGTCTTACCCGGTAAATGAGGGTGACGACTCTTACCACGGTAAACGCTTACCGGGTAAATTTTTGTATACTATATCGTTTTGGTGGACTAAAATCTTACCAGGTAAGTATATAATAGTGTTAAATTTTACTGGTAAGCACTTATTAGGTAAGTGTTTGATAAACGGCCCCATAACATAATATAGCAAATATGGAAAAGATAAAATACAAAATAGGAATTTACTCCACACCAAAAATAGGATGGAACAGTAACAAAAATATTTTTGAAGGTAAATATGGCATTTAATTAATCTTAATATTTATTACGGTTCAGAATAAATACAATTTGACCCTAATCAATCGACTTTATCGAGAAAGATTATTTTTTTTAGGTCAAGAGGTTGTGAACAAGGTCTCGAATCAACTTAGTGGTCTTATCATATATCTCAGTATTGAGGATGATACCTAAGATTTGTATTTTTCTTATCACTGAATATATATCTTTACTTGTATGACTTAAATGTCTCGTATTTTTCAAAAAAATGATTCGATTGATAAGATTTGACACGATACTTGTGAAATCGATGAAATTGATATTCAAATATTTCTTCTTATAAGGTTAAATACTTGATATTGTTTATGATTGGAGTCACTTGGAAATACATTACATCATATGGTTTTGAACTAGTTTGGCTTGAATTTATTTCCTTGTAAACATTATAATATTTTATTAATATTTTTTATAAATATTTTATTAATTTTATATTATATTTTTTTATAGGTTGTTTAAAATATAGAAAATAAAGATCTAATTTTTTAAAATTTTCAACTTATATGTATTATTATTTGAAATAAGAGAAAATTTTAAACTTATATAATTCTTTAAATTTTGATGTGATTTTATTCTTGCCCACCAATTAGATTAGATTGTTATTAATTTTTATTTTTTTAAAAAGTGGGTTTTAACTTCGAACCTTCAATTTATTGAGGAAGTAAGTTTTTGAGTATTTTGAGATCTAAATTTGGGTTTTATTGTGTATCTGATATAGTGGTTGGTCTTTGTGCGTCTTTAGTTTTGGGTTATGTTTGAGAAGGTTCTTGAAGGAACTTTACTTGTGAACCTCAAACCTTCATTTTTGGAAGACAGAGTTGGTTTTGGAATCTAGGTTAACTTGACCTAGCAAGGTGAGTTCAAGTTATTATGTCAAAACTATGTACATGCCAAAATATGTATTTAGAAATATTAATGTCTTTTACTTAATATTTACGAAATTTGTTGTTTATTTGATTAAATTTGTATCTTTTATATATTTGGGATATGAAATCCCTATGAAATTTTTAGAATGATTTATTGGGTGTTTGAGAGACCAAATGATATTTATTTCATAAAAAGGGAATTATTTGGATGACTCGATACAAAATATTATTTTAACTTTTGAAAATGTATTTGGAGTTAAAAGAACGATTTTATTTGGCGTTGTTAAACAAATCAAAGTGTTTGTTGATTTGGTTCTGGATCAAATATGTTTGGGGACTTTACCCAACTTGTGAACTTTTGATAGTGGCGTAATAGCCTTTTTGGTCATAAACGTATGGATATTTGAAATATGTTTTTTCTGGATTATGCGGTTTACATTGGCTTTATTAAAATAGTCAAGTGTTTGTACGAGACCTTTGGAATTATATGCGGTTCTGACATATTTATTTGATATTACACATTTTGGGTGCGTGAATTATTTATTTTGTGTCGTGTAATTTTAGACTGTAATGCAATGGATCATAAGTATAAGAGTCGGTTTTATGGAATATGTAAGGGATGAGATTTTCTGTTTATAAATCGGAAATAAACATTATGATTATTATGTAATTTCCAGTTCATACTTTACTATAGCTTGGAAATCGACACTGTGATTATTATGTAATTTCTAAGTGAACGCGCTTGTTATCTCATTTAACTATAGATTGGATTTCGTTGATGTCAACAGTTATGATCTCATTTGACTGTAGACTGAATTTGGTTGATGTCAATGATTATTTATCTATAAGATATTATCGTATAACATTCATTGTGGCTTACTTACGTGTTTGTCACATTTATGGATACGTGTGTCCCCCGTCACCAGATGATGTTATTATCCTAATATTTGTGATTTTGGGTTTGAACCTTATTTGCGTTTTTTGGGGTATTCTGAATAACAGAGTCTTTTATACATGATTAAAATAACTGGAAAGCTGTTACTTTTACGTTAAAGACATTTCATTCGAGAAATTTACGTTTAATAAGCAGTTATTTTATTTTACTGTTTATTTTTTTAATCAAATATGATATGTTAGCTGTAATCTAGCCTTTTGGGAGCCCATCACTAGTCCGATCCCCAACTCTAATACCATATGTTACATCTCAGGCTAAACCGTATCAGATATTGTCCACATCTAAATTTGCAGTTTTAAAACATAAGTAATAAAAGAAGTATTCAGTCCCTTATAAGACAACTTTTATTATCCACACTAGTCATGTGAGATGTTACAATATTCCCATTGTACTTGTTTTTGTTTTTAACTAGAACTTAGAAGGATACTCGTATAATGCAGCGAGATATATCTCGATTTCAATGTTTCATTTTATTTTGTTTGGTCACTGTCGATGTTATAATACGAATTTATGTAGTTTTGAGCAAACGATAATATTTTTCTTGATAAAATATAAATTTGAAGTTATCATAAAAAATTAAAAAAAATATTTAAAAGTTCTCATTTTTTGTATAATTTATTTAATTCAATTTTTTATTATAATATAATTTAGTTTTAATGATGAAGTAATTTATTTTTGGTTTAATAATTTTTTTATAAAGACAACAACTCAGTATTCTATTACAACTTAATAACTATCTTAATTATATTTTAGATTTTATATTTAAAATAAGAATTTTATCTTAAATTTGATTATATTTATCTACAGTTTGTTACACGAATTCAAACATAAAGCTTAATAAGTTGTACTTATGTATAATTTACTTGTAATTTTGAATTTTAAGTAATATACATCAATAAACAATACTTTATATATAAAAAATAATTTTTAAAAGTTTTTATCAAATACTTTATAATATTGTATAGATAAATGGTTTTCAAATTAGTTTTTTTTATTGGATTTAAGGACTTGATTGACATTTTATGGGGAAAAAATTGAAATAAACGAAAGCTTGGGGGTAGACAACAGCAATCGACTCCATCATATGTTTACCTCCTCCTCCATCCGTAAACCCTAAATAAAAGGCTTCCCCTAAACCCTAACTCATCCGACACAGCAGCAGCCAACAATGGGTGGAAAGGCCAAGGGAAAGCATCGTTTGGACAAATTTTATCACTTAGCCAAAGAACATGGCTACCGTTCTCGTGCTGTTTGGAAACTCATCCAGCTCGATTCCAAATACACTTTTCTTCGTTCTTCTAATGCCGTTCTTGATCTCTGCGCCGCCCCCGGTGGGTGGATGCAAGCCGCCGTTGAACGTGTGCCTGTTGGAAGCCTTGTAATTGGTGTCGATCTTGACCCCATTCGCCCCATCCGCGGCGCCATAGCCATCCAAGAAGATATTACTACACCTAAGTGTAGGGCAACTGTTAAGAGATTAATGTCTGAGAATGGAGTTAGGGCTTTTGATTTGGTGTTGCACGATGGTTCTCCTAATGTTGGTGGTGCGTGGGCTCAGGAGGCTACTAGTCAGAATTCTTTGGTTATTGATTCAATTAAGCTTGCATCGGAATTGTTGGCTCCGAAAGGCGCTTTTATTACCAAGGTATCCATCTGTTCCCCTATTTACATATCTATAATTCGCATGGTCCTTAATAATTTCTATTTTTCAATTTTGATTCGTGATTATGGATCGTTCATGCTTCGCCAAATTCATAATCAAACATTCAAACGTTTGATTCAGCTGAACTAATGGTTCCTGTCTTTTCTACATGTTGTTTATGACATTCTGCGCTTTTGATCGTGTTGTATTTGGTAATTTAAGTATGTATCCGCTTTTGGTTGTGTTATTTGCTAAATATTTTGGCTCTCTTCCCTGTATATATTATATGATATTTCGTGTATTAATGCACTTGTGGAATTTGTGTACCTATATATTTCAGGCACCAGTCAGTTTGGGGATACACTGATACTGCTTTATATGCGTAATGCTTATTACTGAATGAAATGAAAAGCTGTTGTCTTCAAGAATATTGTGATGATTTTAACTCTGCATTACTTCTCCATGTGATGAATTTTTGAAAACATCACATCTTTATTCAGACACTAATTTACACCCGAAATTCTGAATTGATAATGTTTTCATATTTTGGTTTCTATACTTCTCCAGGGTACTCTTTAATCCATTTCAGCTTTATAATGTTTAGTTATGTAGTAGAAGCTATGGACATACTCCTTTGTTTATTACATGTGCACAGCTAACTGCGATGTGAGAACAGCATATATTTAGATTTTAACCACTTGATAATACCTGTAACAGGTTTTCAGGTCACGAGACTACAATGCGGTTCTTTACTGTCTTAGACAGGTATTGGATCTTTTTTTTTAATTGTAATATGTTCTGCTTAGTGCACCCTACATTTAATGGTGTTTTTGATTCGTGGAATCTGTTGGCAGTTATTTGAAAAGGTTGAGGTGGACAAACCAGCTGCTAGTCGTTCAACTTCTGCTGAAATTTATATTGTATGTCTAAAATACAAGGCACCTGCTAAGATAGATCCTCGTCTTTTTGATGTTAGGCATCTATTTCAGGGAGGGAAAGAAGCCCCAAAGGTAATATCATCTAAGTTTATCTAAGTTGTGGATTTTTTTTCTTTCTGTTTGCCACTTCAGGTTATAGTAATAGAAAACTAAACTGGTCCTCATTTTGTATGAACTTACCAATTTAGGTTATTGATGTACTTAGAGGAACAAAGCAGAAAAGACATCGTGATGGGTAAGCCATTCTTATATTTATTACTGATTTTAGCTGTTGAATTGGAAGTTTTCCACAAAATGTAATCTAGTTTTGGTTTAAGGGGATATTGGTTGCTGTGTATCAATTAGTTACACAGCTTGGCACAACACCGTTGGAAACAAACTATAGGAGGTGCATCACCATTTGCGTTTTGTTCATGAGAAAATGAATGCACATCCCACATTAGGAGTCTTATGGACTTGTCTATTGATATGTGAAGAAGTTCTGTTAGTTTCTTTGTGTCCAGTCATGTAGAAGATAGAAAAAGAGAGAGGTTATGGTTGTTGGCTTCTTGTTAACCACTTAAATGTATCAGATATGAAGATGGTGATACGACTTTGAGGAAAACATGCACAGCTACAGACTTTATTTGGTCAAGTGCTCCGCTTGATATTCTTGGTTCTGTTACATCTATAAACTTTTCAGCTGACACTTGTTTGCCTATAAAGGATCATGCATTGACTACAGAGGAGGTAATGCCTAAGCTAACTTTTTATGATTATTAGGGTTTCCTTTGTTTTTTTCCAGAAGCGCCTGTAACAATTTCAACTTCTTGTTTTGCTAGGTCAAAGCACTATGTGATGACTTGCGTGTTTTAGGGAAGCAAGACTTCAAGCATCTGTTGAAGTAAGGAACACCTTGTCTTTTCTCTCTTTTTTGGCCACATACATACATATACATATATATATATATATATGTATATATATGTACTCCCTTTCCTCCAATCTCTTCAATGTTAGATGGGATATCATCTACATGGAATATTTCTACATCGTGGTGATAATTCTGACTAATCTCATGAATTCTATGTTTTGTTACCTCACCATATTGAGCACCTTATTCATTATTGACATGGTGCAGCAATTCTTGTGCCTCATAAATAGTCTTAAAAAACCTATGGCAACTGGTAAACTTAGAGCATCTATGGTGGAAGTTCATCGTTTTGTTATACTAGGCATGCATAAGCCGTTTCACCACTTTGGAAGGAGGGATTGTGGTGAGGGGGCAAAGAACCGCTTCGCTTCGTTTCTACAACATGGCACATCACTTCAATGATGGGTCCCACCTTAAAAAGTATTAAAAAATTAAAATGACTAAAGAATTATTATACTTAAGTACCCTTTTCCAAGAATATAGTATCGTAAACAATTAGTATCTGTTTCAATTTTGTTGTTATAATTTAATCATATCATTTAATAAAATAAGTAGTTTGAATGTATTTTTTAAAACTAGTCATCATTATTTTAGTTTGATCTTTATCTAATAAGATTATTTTTGCAAACATAATTTTTATACTAATCAGCATTGTTAATTCAAATGAAAATTAACTTGTAAATATTACAAATATAAAATAAAATGTTTTGTATAAATGATATGAATTTATATTTAAATGAAAAAAGTTAAGTGCTTCCCGTTTATGGAACTGTCAAGAGGTTTCATGATTGTGGAATGGGGTTCATGACTGTGGATGCTCTTAATCAAATTAAATACTTAAATCAAATGAGTTTGGTGGTTTGATGGGTCAACATCTTCTTAGTCAAACAATATTTGTCATTGATGAGGATGAATCAGTTAATTGTGGAGCGAATTTGCAATGCTGTATAACCTTAACCACTTCTAAAAGGATGCCGTAGAACGACTTGTGGGGTTTAACAGTCTAATGACAAACTTATTCGGTTATTCCTATTACTCTCATCTGGTTATTCGTATCAATCAAAGGAAATTTGTGAACAACTGTAAGATATTACTTATCTAGTTCGAACTTATGTGACAATTGGTGGATAGTATTCTCCATTGCATGTAACCTTGAGTAAATCATTATTATACTAGATATTCAGATGCTACCTCCCTTTAATTTACCCTGATAACTTTTATGTTTGATTGGTATATGAAGGTGGCGTATTCATATCAGAAAGGCCTTGTCTCCTTCGGAAAAGGAAACTCCTAAACCTACAGATGCTGAACCAGAGAGCAAGGTTGATGAGGATGAGGATGATGATGTACTGAATGAAATGGAAGAACTGACAAATGCTATGCTACGGAAGAAAAAACAGGCAAAAAAGATTGTTGCAAAACGAAGAGCCAAGGTTTGATAGGAATTGATTGCTCCCATCTTAAATTTAGCTCTTTTTATCTCGTTTCTTTATTGTGATTATTCCCATAGACATGTTTAAAAATTGATTACTTCGATTCACATCAAATGGATCTTTTAGAAGCGGCTGCTGCCTATTTTACGTGTTTACTCTTTACTTGATTATTTTTTCACACTTCCATTTCACTGGATCATGCAGGATAAAGCAAGGAAAGCAACTGGGATGCAGAGTGATGTAATGGAGGATGGATACACTGATTATGAGTTATTTTCTTTATCATCTATCAAGGTTAGATTCCTATTTTGTTTTCATATTAAATTGCAGTTCAATTAAATCATGATTTGGATATGGATGGTCACAGTTAAATAAAGTTCAGTAGGTTGTTACAATCCGTCATCACTACAAATTTGTTATCTTGTGATGTGGCATGATCTTAATGATGCATTCGGATTACACATCCAATTTTGTAATCTTTCATTCTGTGTGATTGTCGTTCAGGGGAAGAAAGATTTGGTAGCTGTTGATAACACGGAAGATGATAATCCAAATAACGAAGTAGTGGATAGTGACGATGAGGGAGGCCGAGTGGGTTCCCAAGATGAGTCAGCGAGTGATATGGACTCTGAGGAAGAGCGTCGAAGGTCGGTATATGAGTGGATCTCAATAATCTTTTCACTTGGGTAGTTTTGATTAAAACCCACATTTTTCTTTCAGATATGATGATCAGATGGAACAGTTGCTTGAAGAAGCTTACGAGAAATACGTATCCAAGAGAGAGGGAAGCACAAAGCAGAGAAAGCGGATGAAACAAAAGCACTCCGAGGATGGTGAACTTCTTGAGGTTTGACTTTTCTTGTATATTTATATCTTGATTGTCATTATGGTCAGAGCTGTTCAAGGACCGGATGGCCCTCTAATAGTGGGATTGGACAACCATTATCAACAAGATGGACTGGCCTGTTAAAAAATCTTTTGCTTCGGATATCTCCGTGCGAAGAGTTGATGTTTTCATATGTTTCTTGGTGTAGGGCGATGAGGATGGTGACGAAGCTGTTCATCCGGATGAAGATTCCGACAATGATCATGCTGATCAAGAAACTAATCCTCTAATGATACCACTTGATGACGACGAGCCTACTGAGGAGGAAATTGCTGCAAAATGGTTCAGCCAAGATGTCTTTGATGATGGCGATGAACAACAAAATTCGAAAATGGACGAGAGTGACGATGATGAAGATGAAATGCAAGTGGATAAAAAACCCGATAATCAAATCATGGTTCCAAAGAAACCAACATCAAAAAACCCACCGAAGAAACCTCAACCCGTTCCAGCTGCTGCCACTGAAGATTTCGAGATCGTCCCTGCCATAGCTACAGATTCGAGCGATGACTCATCGTCAGACGACTCGGATGACGATGATGTGGAGACGAAAGCCGAAATCTTGGCTGTTGCCAAGAAAATGCTGAGAAAAAAACAAAGGGAACAGATGCTGGATGATGCTTACAACAAATACATGTTCCACGATGATGAAGGATTGCCCAAATGGTTTATAGATGAAGAGAAGAAACATATGCAGCCGATGAAGCCCATAACTAAAGAAGAGGTTAACGCAATGAAAGCTCAATTCAAAGAGATAAATGCCCGGCCCGCTAAGAAGGTGGCCCAAGCGAAGGCCCGAAAGAAGCGGGTTGCAATGAGGAAGATGGAGAAGGTTCGAAAGAAGGCAAACAGCATTGCGGATCAAGCGGATATCAATGATCGATCAAAGATGAAGATGATAGATACGTTGTATAAGAAGGCGGTCCCGCAGCGGCCGAAGAAAGAGTTGGTGGTGGCAAAGAAAGGGGTGCAAGTGAGGACTGGAAAAGGGAAAGTGTTGGTTGATAGGAGGATGAAGAAGGATGCTAGGAAACATGGGATGAGCAAGGACAAGAAAGAGAAAGGGAAAAAGAAGGGGGGCAAAGGGCAGAAAGGTAAAGGGTCCGCCCCGCCCAAGGGTAAAACGGGAAGAAAGTGAAGTTGTATCAATATAAAGTAGAGATGCACGAAAAGGCCCGGTTTTTGTGCATCTCTAATATGAGTATGGTTTTGGTTCTTGAACCCTGGAGAGATGAGTTTTGAATTGAAATTTTGGAATGCTGTTTTAAGTGTAAGATAATTTTGATCGATCGATATAACATACGGTTTCCGTTAATTTATTTTGAACAATCAATGCAAGTTATGGTAGAACGTATTTTGGAATATATCCAGTTTGTTTGGTTTAATTTATTTTTAATGTAGGTTATGATAGTATTTTTCTAGTTATGAGTAGGTTTTTCAACTTCTAGTTACGCCTATGTGTGGAGTGGTATGGTGACAAGATTGAAGTGGACATGACAAGAGGGTAGGACTAAATATGACGTGATAAGTTGTCTGTCTGGTGTTTGATACGATTAGGATTGGACTCGACAAGTTATCTATAAAAAAGTTGTTTGATGATTTTTACATATATAACAATTATAAACAAAGATCTAAGTAAAATATTTAAATAATTAAAATATTATATATATATATATATATATATATATATATATATATATATATCACCCCTATACACACACATATATACATATATATATATACCAAATTTGAATGAAAAAATTGACATAACTGATGATAGTTCGAAAAAGAACTTGGTTAGTACAAAATAAACCTATGTTTTATTCTGCTTAGAAGATTTTTATGAATTGGTGAAGACGGCAATAAAGGTTGTTGTAGAGATAATGGTGGATGTAGCGATGGTCGAAGAAGGTGATGGTGTTTGAGGTAGAGAAAATGGCAACTTATATGGTGGTTAAGGTGGAGGCAGTGATTGTGGCAGAGATAGGGGTGGAAGGCAGTGGTAGCTACTGGACGATAGTGACTGTAGACGATGTGAAGATGGTGGACAATAATGGTGGTGGTTACGGTCGAGAGTGGTCGAGGAGGTGGTTGTGCCTGATGTGGTGGTAGACGGTGGTAGTGGTGGTGGTTATGGTTATTATTGAGGTGGATGTGGAGGTGGCCAATAGTGGTTCTAATGGTGGTGGAGGGAGCCAACGTTGTAAATTAGAGAGATTCGGATTTGGATTTGTAAGGATTTAGAATATTTGTGTGCTCCGTTTGTAGAATTTAGAATAAAATTGAATTTATTTTTGTATAAATAATTTATAAAAACAAATTATAAATAATCACAAAAATAATTAAAATTACATTTTTATTAATTGATTATTGTAAAACTAACTTAACATATATTAAAACATTATTCCATATAAATCCTACGAAATCCCGTGAAATACCACCACCTTCGTAAAACTTTAAAATCTTATGTTTGTGGGATTTCAAATCCAGAAAATTCTTCAAACGTAACATTAAGAATACAATTCAATTTCCATTTTACATTTAAATTATACTTTCAAATACAATCAAATTTTGTATTGATAGGCAATTAAGCAAAACACTAGTGAAATAATTAAAAAAAAAAATGAACACAATCTTTATTTGTACAAGTTCTTATAAGTAACATTAAATAGAAAAACATAAACACTTACATAACCATATCAAACGAAACCAATTCAAACTGATCCAGTTTATCCCACTTGAAATATGATCTGTTAGGTGGGGCATACCCAGACCTAAAATGATCCCTTTCGATGAAATCGCTTTCATATGAACTTGATGCAATTCTAGTTTCCCCCATCTTCTATGGGACGAGGCAAGTGTTTCTTGAAGTGGGTTGGCGTTGGTCTAAGCCAACTTCTACCCCCGATCATGCTCTTGTTCAAAAAGGGTGCACTCTCGTCATGTGATAGCTCACGGGACCATCCGACCCTCTTCGACCTATCCGCCCCTGGACCATAACACTTATATTCGCCATAGTACACCGTCCTATAAACAAGATTCACCAAAAAAGAGTCATTGGCACAGCAGGACATAGGTTGCTAGTAGAGTCCAGCCTCCCAGGAGGTCAAGAACTCAAATCTCACCAAAGTTGAGAAGCATGTGAGTATTTACTACATATGAATATTATATACTTCAAACAAAAAGGATTCACCACAAAAACATGATTGATCACATTTTTTTGATGATAAAACATGAAATGAAAAGTTGGGATCAAGATAAAGTTCGCACCTTTCCTTGCTTGGATCATCCCAACCACGCCATCCCTCCGGTGATATTACATTTGACATGAAAGTATGTGCAAATATGACACGAGAGCATGAACCCCATGGCCTTCCAAGAACGGTGCCATCACCCATGCCCGTTATCTTACAACCCACAAATATGAAACCTGTATTCTCAAAGGGTGAATTCCGATGTTGGGCTGTTATTGTTCCAAAGGTTGTAGCTAGTGAGTGTAGGTGGCAACTCTGCAACAAGTTTATGAATGCATAAGGTTGAACGACAATCAAAGTACAATGGTACAATATTTCCAAAAGTTTATGAATGCATATGGTTGAATGACAATCAAAGTACAATAGTACAACATTCCCAAAGTTTATGAATGCATAAGGTTGAATGACAATCAAAGTACAATAGTACAACATTCCCAAAACCCACATCAACTAGTCACATATCATCAAATTTGTAACCACAGTGTGGTGCCTGATTGGTTTGAGCTTGGCTCCAAAGGTCAAGAGTACCAGGAGGTCTCAGGTTCAAATCCAAAGAGGAATACAAATCCCCTTGTGGCCACGGAGGTTCAAATGCGGTGACTCTGGGCTATCTGCAAAGCAGATGGTCGCCCTGGGATTAGTCAGCTGGCATAGCGGGTTGGATAAACCTTTCATTTTTCAACAAATGCTCTTTTAAAGAGAGATTTAAAGGAGTTTTATACATCTTGACATGGTATCATAGACGGGTCTAGCACAACTAGAGAGGACACCCTCTAGCCTCTGTTGGGGGGAGGGAGTTCTTTAAAGTATATAGTATTTATATGAGGCAAATACTCACACACACTCTTCACCTTTGGTGAGGTCTGTACCCTTGACCTCCAAGAAGGTTAGGATTTACCGGTAACCTAGATACAACTATGAGGGGATATGTTGATGTCTCTTATCTACTAGACAAGAACCATCGAATATATCTATCTATATATAGGAGCCTCTTTTAGAGAAAGATTTAGAAGGGTTCTACATATCCTAACCATCAGATATCATTCAAGCTAAGCATTTCGGCAGCAACATTCTCAAATTCATAGATTTGCCACTATGTTCATTGGATCATGTATATGAGAACTTACTTCGAAAAGAGAAGCAGCATTTCCACAAATGAAATCAGTGGCTCCTTCAATATAACAATTGTAGTAATAGTGTCTACCAGAATCATCAAGCAAAGTGTCCTGATAAGATAGAATTCGACACCCATAAAGTGCAGCTCTATCCCCTGCTACCCTCAATGCAATAGCTTTCCCACTCATCCCAAATGTGTTCTACAAAAATGGTGGAATTCAGTTACTAAATAGTCAAATTCAATCAAATTGCAAACTAAGAAGACGATAAACTGTTAAAAGCGTACTTGAATTGTGAGATATCTTGCAACAAAATCGGAAGCCATTACAGATAATGTCGGAGAATTGAAAATGTCGCCACCGTCGTTCCATGTTATGATGGTGTTGGAGGCCTCCGTACCACTCAAAGTTATGAAGGGTTTATCGGCAGGAACAACAATCTTCTCTCTGCTCAACCAGAAAACAAATCGAGTGGATTAAAATTCTAACTGAATCAAATCTAATTGTAACTGAAGCCTGAAATGTAGAAGTACGGATGAACCTGTATGTTCCTGGTTTGATCCAAATGTAAATAAGCTCGGAGTTATTAGAAGCAACCGCATTAATGGCGTCCTGTATCGTTTTATAATCACCTTGTCCTGATTGATCTACGACTATCAAAACTGTATCCGTAGTCGAAGAAGATGTAACCGCCATTGAAAACGAAGCAGAGCAAACATCAAGCAGAATGAATACAAGAACAAAAACTCGTAGAACATGATAAACTATATACGTGACGGCCATGTGAAATCAAACTCGATATAGTAGTACTAATCAAGCAAAAACAGACCAAATCCACTCGTTTTCGCAAGATTGCAGGCTAATCAAAGGGGCAAAATACCAAAAAATTGAATTAACAAAGAATGTCAACGGAAAATTGAACCGATTTCTTGCAGTTACAGCAGGGTTTCCCTGAAATTCACAAGTAAACGGAATCAATTACAATAAATGGCGGCCAGGGGAAGATTTCGGCAACCTAATTTTGGAAAATTGAATGAAGAATTAAATAGCAATTGGGTTGAAATCTAGACGCAATCTGAAGCCAAAAAGATGAAGATGAAGAGGAGAATTTGCGTGCGATGCATGCGGAGGAGTGGGGCGAGAAGAACATGGAACGTGTAATGATTTTGAATATTGCTTTGCTCATCGTTTTCCCGCATTCTTTTTTGCTGTCCACCTGCGTTTCTTTCATGAAACGTGTTTCCTCCAAAAACAGTAAACTACACCGGATCCGGATCCAAACCATCCTATATATCTGAACCATTTTAGTTCCGGTTCGTAACCGGTTCAAGGGGCCGTTTACTCGAACACTTACCTTTAAAATTCAACATTATCGCTTACTTATCGGATAAGTTTTAGTCTACTAAAACGAACATGGTATGCAACAAAATTTACTTGGAAGTGTTAACTATGGTAAGAGTTGTCGATTTCACTTAACGGGTAATAAGACTCTTGATCATTGCCTTTGCTTTTATCGGGTAAGATTTTTGGTCGTTACCATATTTATCTTGTAAGGTATCATGACTTGGTAAACACTTATCCAGATAAACGTTCGTTAAATAGCCCTAAAGGTATGTTAGACAATATGTTGAACAAAAACTTATAACTCGTTGTCATGTTTGGTACCACAATTATAATGTGACCGAATATGACCAAGTGGGAATTGAAACAAGTTAAGCAAAACATTAGGAATATAAAACAAGTTTGATAAATTACTAAACTATCCATTTGATTTGGGTTATGTTTGGCAAATTAGCTAATGAATAAATCATATTTAATAAAAAGTAGCTGATGAATAAATCATATTTGATAAAAAATAGCTGATAAACATGTAAATGACGTAAAATAACATCTTAAGAAATTAGTTGATTACAAAATTTTATAATATAATAATTTTTTTTAATAATATCTACATTATAGTATAAAGCATTTGACAAAAATTCTTAAAAWCCATTTTTTATGCGTAAAGTACTGTTTATTAATGCATATTACTTAAAATCCAAGATTACAAGTAGATTGTGCGTTAGTACAACTTATTAAAGCTCCATATTTGAATTCGTGTAATTAACTGCAGATAAACATAATCAAATACGAGATAAACATCCCATTTTAAATATAAAAAATCTAAAATATAATTATAATAATCATTGAGTTCTTAGAGAATAATTAATTATTATCTTTATAAAATGTTAGATTATTAAACCAAAAATAAATTATTTCATTATTAAACTTAAATTAAATTAAATATAAAAAAATTAAAAAAAGTACATAAAAATTAGAACTTTTAAATAGTTGATTTGATATTAACATTGATATATGTATTTCAAATTTTTATGATATTTTCAAATTTATATTTTATTCAAAAATAAAATAATTATTGCTTTCTTAAAAACACATAAAATCGTATTATAACATCAACAGAGACAAATAATAAAATAAAACATTAAAATCGAGATGTGTCTTACTGCATTACGCGAATACTCTTCTAGTAATATATTAATATAAACAACTTAGTAAAGAAAAATTAAAATAATATATTATGTTAATTAAAATAATTATAAATTAATTATTATATATATTTAAATTTTTAGGAAAAAAAATCTACATTAATTTATTATTTTTTTAATAAGATTCTAGTATATGTTAAATGTATTGGTTTTGTAATGAAAAATAATTTAATTTTTTATAAATTATTAATGAATAACGATATTTTATTTTATTTTAAATTATACAAACCAAACATATAACAAATTTCAAATCTTTCAACGAAATCCAAATACCTAAAAAATAATCCATTAAACCAAACAAATCCTAATACCTTTCATATTTGTTTCCCCGATTTCGGAATTTTATCCCTTTTAGTCATGTCCACGTAGCAACTTCTAGTTTTCGAATTTAAAGAATTACCTAGAACAGAATACCGAGACCTTCGATCGATGTTTTATGAGTTATTAAAACATGAGACAAAAAATCAAACGCAAACATAAAATACAAAACAAGCAAATCGCACGTGATTTCACATTGAAATCACATGTGATTACGGAACACGGTTAACGCAAGGGTGAGCAGCGACTTGGCCCGTGAGTTCAAATCATGGCCACAGTCGTGTGAATCACATGTGATTCAATCATTCTCATGTTTCTTACGGGTGTGTTTGGTGTCCAGACATGACGGAACATTTCAGAAAATGATAGAACAACTGATCAACGTTTGGTAAGATAAAACTGGACAAAACATATATATCGTTAGAAAGTTTATTAAATTATCATAGAATATTATTTTTTATAACATGTATGGTTAGAAAGTTTTTGTCAAAACAATTAAAATGACACAAAATAAAAAGTTTATGTAGTTTTCAATTTTTTTATACATTATTTTTTATTATTATTAATATATATAATAAATTACATAAATTAATAAAAATATAAAAACCAGATAAAAATAATATTTTAAGAACAGTAAAATGAAAGTTTAAAAAACATAAAATACAATAAATAAAATTTAAAGAATGAATAAAATGTAAAAAAAAGACCTATTTGATGTTTTAGAAGATAATTAAGTTTTATTTTGAGTTTATATTAATAAAATATAAGTCAGTTTCACCTTGTTCCTTGGGGTAGGGGTGGAACAGGCCTATTACACTTTGTTCATGTTTGTTCCACATAAAAGTCATACAAAAAACATGAGACATATATCTCTCTCCCTATTCTATCATGTCATGTCCAGTGTACCAAACACACCATACTTAATCAATGTTCTCGTATGATCCTGACTTTACACATATTTACAATGTCAGCAGTATTTTTTTTGAAGTTAGTAATACGAAACAGTAATATATTAAATTTTATAGATGTATGAGTTGTAAAGCGTTACAAGATGAATCATATATGACAATTAAAGGGAATTATACATACATACATAGTGATTACACGTTTCATATTATTATATAACCATAAAGTTAAAACACACACAATATATTCACCCTACATATCAGAAATAATCGATATTTAAAAACCTATAAAATTGTGATAATCTTAAAAATCAATGTATCATATGTTATTTTTCATATCTTTTTTTCATCTATTACTTGGATTTAATGTATTGATTAACATATATTCGTTGTACTACGTAAACATTTTTTTGTGTTGTAAAATAAAAAATATAACTAAAAAGTTTCACATTATGAATAAAATACATATGAGATTTTTCAAATGATTAAGCCCAAATTGAATATTTTCAATTATTTATAAATCTTTAAGTTTTTTTTAACAATATTACAGATATTCGTTATATATTATTCTGCTAAGTAACTTATTAATTAATTAATGCGGTTGGTGAAGGCGTGAATAGTGGTGTGGGGGCGGGAGGTTAGGTTAGGGAGGGGTGGGCGGTGGGACGGGGATGGATGATAGTTGTGACGACGATAGTGGTGAGATGATAACATTTTTCTCTCCACATCTGAGAGTTCAAAGAATTATCTACATTTAGAATTTTCTTTTGGTTTTGTATATTTAAAAACCAGATAAAGAATCTTTTTTTTATTAACCTGGATATCCAACTCGCTATTCGAGCCGACTAATCCCAGAGCGACCACCTGCTTTGCAGATAGTCCGAAGTCACCGCATTTGAACCTCCGTGGTCACGAGAGGATTTTTATTCCTCATTGGATTTTAACCTGGGACCTCCTGGTACTTTTGACCTTTGGAGTCAATCTCAAACTAATCATGCACCACCCTTTTGATTCAGATAAAGAATCTTTTAAAGCAATATAAAGAACAAAAGTTTCATTTTAGAGAATCATCCGCAATAGTTTAAAGCAATATAACGAACAAGGTGCTCTTAAAACGTTCCCAACAGATTCTCCAAAATGAAGAATTAAAAATCAAAATCTCTAATAAAAATTTACGTTCATCTCCAACAACTTATTCGTTTTGGAAATTACAATATGAATTACGTTATTAAAATATTCAATACATTTCATAAAATATTAATTATTTTTTATATACGTTTAAATCATTGATTCTTATTAATAACAAGAATACAAAATAAATTTTAAGAGTATTTCAAATTTTAAAGAATTCCACCTTCTATTTTCCATTTCTTTATTTTGGATAAGGTTTTGAAAGATCTTTTAAAACAAAAATCATATTTTTTTTATTAACCTGGATATCCAACCCGCTATGCGAACCGATTAATTCCAGAGCGACCACCTGCTTTGCAGATAGTCCGGAGTCATCGTATTTGAACTTCTATGGCCACAAGAGAATTTTTATTCCTCATTGGATTTGAATTTGGGACCTTCTAGTACTTTTGACATTTGGAGCCAAGTTCTAACCGATCAGACACCACCCTTGTGGTTAATCATATTTTTTTAAAACTCTATTGAAGTTAGATGTTGGTTTACAAACAACTTAGGGTCGGTTTTTTTATTTATTTTTAAATTACCTCTTAATACCTCTGAAATCTGGTTTGTTCAGACGTTTGGGTATTAAGAAAGTTCGTTTTATTTTTAAAATAAAAACTTAAAAGCTCTAAATGTCCTCTGAAATTTTAAATGGTAAACATATCTCTACCTCTTAATCCTAATCCGCCCTCTATCAAATGGTTCATATTTTGAGGGCTGGAAGAGATTTATTATTAGCACTATTTATCTTTTATACTTTTGTAAAAAAATTATTTATCTTTTTATATTTTTACACTAGTTTAATCGATTCAAATTTCAAACATAAAAACAAACAATATTATTGATCAAGTTTTCAAACTTCAAACTCATCTCTTATAAATCAGAAGTAAAATCAGACTTCAACGCTTTAAAAAAAAAAACAAACTTCAACTTTTAAGTCATACAAGAGTCAATTTAACTTTGTATCTTTTTTTTGCTCTTTTATTTTATTTTAAATATAAGTTGTTTTAAAAAAATAATAATAAAATAAGACAACAAATGATTTATAATCCGACGGTGACATGCTTGTATTCTAGAACGTCGGCGTCGTATGCACCTTCCAAGAAAACGGTTCCTTGATTTAAAGTATTTATTCTCTTGACCTTGAATTTATTTTTATAATTATAATAATAATTATATTCCCTTGGATTGATTATTTTCCTATTTATTAAATTAGAATTGGGGAATATATTACGTGTCTTATAATGTGATAAATTATTGTGTACGAGTAATATTTTCTGTATCGAATAAATATTTATTTATTTTTATATATCATATAAAATATATTTATAAAAGCAAAAAATAAAAATCAAAACATATGATGTTTTATTAGGTGTTTGAGATTGTTTATTTGCAACAACTTATGCTTTTTAACAAAATTAATTATTAACTTATTATAAATTAGAAGAGTTTAATTTCTTTAAAAATTTCTTATTATCAATTTAATATTAATATAAATTATTTATTTAAATACTCAAAAATATTTATTACTGATACTACACCGAAATAAAACAATAACACAAACACCCCTTAAAGTACCTTTATCATTTAAAAAAGACGGTGGTTAATTGGCACGTTGGTGGCGGCTCCATTTCCATATAACAAGTCATCCGTCCAACACGCTTCTTTTCAGATCCAACTAACACAATGAGTATGAGAATGCAAACTTTGAACGAAGAAGAAGAGTACGATTGGACTCAGAACGATCCCGCCAATCGCCGTCCGGCGCGTGATATCGTCATCGCCGTCGATCATGGTCCTAAATCCAAACACGCCTTCGATTGGACACTCCAACACTTCTGCCGCGTCGGCGACACCATTCACCTCGTCCACGCCGTGTCTAGTGAGTTCCGTTTTGCTTGTTCTTTCTCCATGGTTGATACTTATATGGAATTTAAAGTTCAATAGATCAATAACTATAGCTACTGAATTAATAGCAATTTGTGTTTGTTTTTGATTTTTCTTGTTGATATTATTTGTTGTGATTAGGTTTGAAGAACAGTATTGTTCATGAGGCGTCGGTGACGCTGATGGAAAAACTCTCGCGCGCTGCTACGCAGATTGCTATGGTGAGTACAATTTTCAAGTTTCTGTAATTCTGTACCTGTGTTTACTTATGCTTAAGATAATTTTGCTTTGTGGTTATATGTGTTCTTAGGTGAATGAATTTGGCACATCTATCATGTTCTAATTTGATTTGGCCTTCCTAATAGCGTGTATTTATAATCAAGAGTCTTGATGCATTAATTAGAGTGTTTTGTATGTATTTACTAGTTGACTAGAAGAGTAACTGCTAGGAAAAAAATAAAAGTAGCAAGACCATATATAATATTTTGTTAAAATTTGGTTGAATCTTGGACATTAGCATTTCACATATTGGATTTTGAAGTCAATGTATGTCACTCATTGTTGAAAGGAAGTAGTCATCTCTTCACTAATTTAGATTATATGTTTCTGAACCATGATGCACCAACTACTAAAATAGTAAATACTTTCATAAAATAGTTTAGTAGCCCTAACTGTTCCTAGGTAATAAATATATAAACATACAAGATAACTCAAATATGAGGAAGCTGTTATCTAGGTTTTGAAAAGTATATGTCAACAACTCTTAATCAATCTTTCCTCTAGCTGGATTTCCAAGTCTCTATTACCAGCAAGGCAACTGGGGTTCTTTACTCTTGAACCTTAGATCCCAAAAGTGTTTGCTTGGAATTAAACATCTGTTTTCATTTTAAATCAATGGGCTGGGTTTAATAAATTATGTAAAACTTACCGTACAAATAATTTGTTTTGCAAAAACTACAATGCAAACACACATGTATATCTAGGGAAGGGTTCAAACGAGAACACCTTCATTTTACGAGAGCGGGAGAACATCCTTTTACCATAAACAATCACATGTGATACTATTATTCCAATACATATGATACACATGTGATACTAAATCAGAGACGTGGACGGCTTTTAACGCGATCTAGGTTGTAGGCCAAGTCGCCCTTACACTACTAAGCCCCCTCACATGTACTATAACATGTGATAAATGTGTTATTAATGTGATACTATAACCATCAAGACCATCACATGTGATACTAAATCATAGACGCAGACGACCTTTGGTGTGACCTAAGTCGCAAGGCACGACATCCATACACCACCAAGTCCCCTCAAGTGTATTATCACATGTGATAAGATGTTCTCGTGTTCTCATAAATATGGAGGTGTTCTCGTTTGAACCTCCACCTGTATATCTATATCTATATGTGTGTGTATTCAAATAGTTATGTGTCCTCAATTAGTGTGCTTGTGTTACACTGGCTTCGCCCTTGATATCATCTTTAAGCACCTTGGCTGCATGATCAGGGAAGTGCTCTGTACATGCCCTGTTCGTTCCTTGTGTTTATATGGTTCATGAGTTACACCTTTTAATCATTCAAAACTTTTCTCATCAGACTGGCCTTTTGAGGATCTACAATCGTTAGTGAAGAGAACAAAAACATTGAGTAGTAGTCCATCATATGGCTGATTTGTTGGGTGGAGAAAGCGATACTCGCATGCAGATTTCTGTATAGTAACAATGCTTGGTGTAGGTAGTATTTCTGTTTGTTTGACCCTAGGTGGTCAACTAGGTTTCTGTCTCCCCTTTTTCAGTGTAGGTAGTATTTCTATTTGCTAGACCCTAGAAATCAACGCGAGTTCCTGGCGTGTGTGTAACATGGTATTGCACCATGTAGCCTGTATATGTCTATTTCTATTTTCTATCAGTTTGTTACATTTTAATAAGGAATTGACCCACATTAGATAAATTTACATCTAGATGGAAACATAAAAATGAAGTGGAATTAACAAATCTTGCGTAACGGGTTTGTCGTTGAGCTATTTGCACATTAACAAAAGTAAAATCATGTGTTACTGCCTTTTATAATGATGGTTACTAAACGAATCTTTTGATTTCTTCAATGAAGAAGTGTTGGCTTATACTTTGGTATGATTTTAGAAGTCTGCCCAAATTGAGTACTTCAAGATTATGCAATTTACCATATCAAGAATGCAATTTTGAATATAATTTGTACACACATAGATAATGCAATTTAATTCACTTGTCGCCTTTCTAACTTTGGGTGGAATTAGGGAGGTAGGAATAGAGAAGAGCTATTCATGCGCCACCTAGAATTAACCTTGAGATCTAGGAATATGCCATATTCAGAGCTTTTAGTTTTAACTGCAAACTGAATAAATTAGGTTGTTGCAAAATTCTAATACTCAAGCTTGAGCTTACTTTACTGTTTTGTTCATGAGACCATGTGACAGCAGCTATAATCGCACGCTTAATCTGATAGTTCCTGCTTTGAGTTTACTCTGGATCCTTGATGTGTGGAATACTCTATAGTCACACTAACCAAGAGGATTTATTCAAAGACCGAGTGAGCATTTTCTAATACTAATAAAATTCATACCCTCTAGATTCTGATTCATGGCGGGATATAGGATTTTCGACCAAGGGTATGTACTACCGTAACATATTTTTCCAGGAGATGCATTACAGTAACTATTTATTTTTTCTTTTTTTACACTATAAGACACTACCAATTTTTTCCAAGGTATGCACTTTTATATGCTAGATCCACCCATGCTCGGATCATAAGTTAGTATTTATCTGTGCTTCTTCGTTTGGTTTTAAATTTATGTTGTAGCATTGGCTTAAGAAAATACATGGATTTTTTTTTGTTGAGAGGAGTGCCCCGGAAGAAAATGATTCATTGTGGGATATGGAACTCTGGCGATGATTTTCTTGATCAAATTTTTATGTCAGATTAGCAGTAACACTCTGAATTGTAGTCGATAGCTGATTTGGACATAGATGAGATACATTGACATAATAAGAGAATCGTCTTCTATTATACAACAAGATCTTATGTTTTGTTCTAATATATACATCATAAATTTATAGCTTCTATAGTTTGGTTAACAAGTCTGTGCTTTGATAATTAAGGACTATATTAATAAGGGAAATGGGCACTTCCCTTCTAAACTATTTCTAAAATCGATCATGAAAGGGCAGAGCTACTAGTACAATCTGTGGCATGCAAGCTTCTAGCTCCGCTATGATACCACTTCAGTTTTGCATCATGTTTCTGTGCTCTAAAGTGGTTAAGGTTTGGGATATGCAAGTTTCTATTTTCATTTGTTGGTCCGTGCTACGAACAGGAAATGTCTTCCTCAGTGTTGCTTTTATCTTCCCCTTATCATTTTAGCAAATGCTGGAAACTTGGTGATCTCATATTTGACAACAAAAAAGAGTGCTTTGTAGTCATTAAATTCTCATTTTCTTAAAACCTCATTCTGTGGTAATGGAGAACTTAGGTTGTTACTTGTTTGATAACGTACATTAGTTTTTCGGAATAAGACAAGCTTATGCTTGCTAAATAAATGCTATGTGAATATTATTTAAAACCACGTTGGTAAAAGTTAATAAATCCCCTAACCAAGAAACTAGTTCAACGGTAAAAATTAAATCCATTATATGTTGGCAATTGCCTGATTTTGTAAAAATTTATCGGGGAGCAGGTGAAAATAGTGACTCGAATAGTGGAAGGAGATGCGGGCAAGGCAATTTGCAAGGAAGCAGAAAGAGTGAAGCCTGTTGCCGTTGTCATGGGTACAAGAGGCCGGAGCTTAATGCAAAGGTAATCTTTCTCCTTCCCACTCTCTCTTTTTTTCATGGTATGTTGCTTAGTCTCACCCTCCCTTGCCTTCTTGTTTCACCCATCCAGTGTATTACAAGGAAGTGTAAGCGAGTATTGCTTCCACAACTGCAAAGCAGCACCTGTTATAATTGTTCCTGGCATAGGTATGAAATCTGAATTCTTTTCATTTTGTTTTTTCTCCCTATGAATTGTTGTATACAATGGGTTCTAAATGGATTTATTACATGAGACAGTAGAAGCTGGGGAAGAATCAGTGGTTTAGTTGGACAAGAGATAAATACCTTTATGAAGAGTTGCTTCTCTGCCACAGTATGTCTGGATTTAGTTAAGCGTAGCTGTGATTGTGAAGTTGTAGTTCTGGTTACAGATGGTGACTGGTTGCTCAAATTGATTGTTTTACTTATTCATTTGTACATTATATGTTGAATATACTTTTCTTTTTTCTGTATGCTATTCTTGCTTATGGTTCTGTATAATTTATTACTCTATAGCTTCATTGGGTAAACCTTGTTATTTTCCATGATTTGCTGTGGAAGACCATATTGTAGAAGTCATTATAATTCACCTCTTACCCCTGCTACTCAACGTTATAAATTATTGATGATATTGGGGGGTGGGGTGGGGGGTTCACTTATTATTGGTGAAGAGTATCTTAGATATTTAACTAATATGGTCAAACATATGTCATGTCAAATCAAATAATTCAATTCAATTCCATGCTATGTTTATTTTAAGCTGCATACTTCTTCAGCGAGTCTATCAAGTACCATATCTGTGAACAGTATATGGTGCTGTTGGACTGGACTTCCACATTTACCAAAACAGAGGTCGGGTGTAAGAATTCTATGGTGGATAAAGAATGTGCATTTATCTCCTTGTAAACCTTTCTATCCTTCAATTACGGATGCTTTTCCACTGTCATGGATAAAACAGAATGTGCAACTTACTAGAAAATCTTGATTATGTCTCTCTTTGTATTCTATTTGTGCATATCTGGGTGAATGCAGTGTTTTAATGTTTAAGGTGTATGCGGTTTGGTGTATATAAACCTTTGGGTTACTCCACTAAATATCATTCGATTTTGGGTTATTGAAGTACTTGTGAGTTGTGAGTAGTTTACTGGTGAAGCTGAATCTCAACTTTGATTTCTTTTAGCAAGTGATTAGATCCTTTTCACTACTGAAAGACACATACTTGAGAGAAAACAGGACCAAAGAGGTAAATGACATGGTCCTAAAAATATCTTAGCTTCAGAGGTTGACTGATATCCACACTTTGGCTAGAGAATCTTCTTGTGTTTTTTTGCTCATATTATTCCATGCAATTGCATTATGTGAAGTGGAGAAATTTGAGGGTTTCAAGAAGGAATAAATCTGTGCCTGTTGGAGTGGGCCTAGGGAAAAAAAGGTAATATGGTATATCACCATCGGGTGAGGCAAACAAATCAAGGAGATCTTGCTATGGATAAGGCTGGATCCACCCATCTTTGTTAAATATGGCTTGAAAATGAAAGAAAGCTGCGTCTCTTAGGCACCCTAAGACCAATTATATGCAGCGAAACTCATAGGCAGTTTTCATGGTCCCCTTGTCTTTATTTATATTGAATTAATAAATAAGATGGATATTGATCTTTAATGGTATAATCAGGCTGCAAGCGCTGATCACTACCCACATTAGGACACCAACAGAGTTTTAGATTTAGGTTTAGGTTGAGTTCCAAATCATCTACGCTTGATATAAGCATGTAATTAATTATTTGAAAGTTTTTTATTAACGTAGTTAGGGAATGAAGGATTACACTTGTTGGGCCCCTCCAAGATTGAGATTGCTCGTCGTTTATCGCACGGTATGTCACTTTCGGTCCCCAAAGCGTACCCATACGACTCTTTGGCTGGTTTCTGTCTGTTTGTTTTTGAGTTGTCGCTGGTTAGCTACATTTAAGTACCTTGCAGTCTTTGATACTATAGTTGAGAGGTTGTAGGTGCCTGCTTCATATACATAATGCCTAATTGGATTTTTTATGAACCACCCCTAGACAAGTGCACCTGAAGTCAGCCTTCTGGATTCATTGAATGTGGTTATTTCGTAATCCCACTAACCAAATGCACCTTTATTCAATTATGGGTTACTTTGTCGAATATTTGACCTTTCAGATTAAATCCAGCAATATTGAATTGCTTCAGTGTTCTTGCAAGTTGCAATTTGTAGGTCATTATGATCTTGGACCACCATATTGAGGATGGCTTTGATTGTGGCTGAAGTGAATTCATATTGTCTGTCATTTTCTTGGTCTCTGTCTATGTTTTTTATCTTTGATATATATATATATATATATTGTGGAAAAACCTTATCTATATCATAAAATTTGCAACATAAGGTGAAACTGTTGTTTGTTAATATGCATTCTATATTCTAATTATTGTTCCTACAATGCCAGTATTCTTACTTGCATTAACGATATATACTTGGGCAAATGAGTAAAGAATAAGGATAATAACATTTCGACTTAAATCCATGCCAAAAAAATTTCTTCTACTGATCACATCTCCATCTTCAGATTGCTTCCTTCATTTAAACCTGAAAAACATACAAGTAATCTCCTTTAAGATATAGTGCTTTATTGTGTGGATTCCTATAACTTCTGATTCTGCTCATTTCTGATCCCTAGTGAGGTCTGAAAAAGGATACTGGCCGGTTGGTCACCGATCTTTTTCGTTAATGCACGACCCTGGGGCACCAATGCTCATTGGCACTACATGGGTAGGGAAAGGAATCTCTGTTTAGCAGTTTTTTTCTTGGATTTTGCAAGAAAATTACTGTTTTTATGACCAGAACCCTTTCATGTTGGCCTTTCAGGAACTTTTAGTGCTGGAAATGCATTATCCTAAAGTTGGTTTTTTAATTTTTCCTGGAATGAAATGGGGAATTTATGGTCATACCCAATGTTTTTAATGGTTTTTGGTGGAAGACAGGGATAAAGAAAGATACCTACTATGCAACTTTCTTGGTTACTGAGCTTGGACCCATTTATTCCTTTAGAAAATCATTCCAACTTTTGTGGGTCTCTCTATGGTCACTATCTTGTTACTATAGTATTTACTGTTTTCATTTGGCATCATTTTTCCCTGACTTCTGAAGATTTTTAGGTCACTTCTCTTTACCTGTAAATTGATGGGATTGAAATGGTATCAATGTTCCTTGTTCAAATTCCATTTTGTACAGATTCTGTAAATCAGCATCCCAGGTAGCAGTTGGCTGGATTTGCTGTAACAAAAAAGGTTGGATCTTTGGTAAGAAACTGAGACTTTCTGGGATATAATGGACTATGCTTAAAGCATAGCAGTGGCCCACTTTTTTGGCTGTACTTTATGCTTATATGGTTGTACCGTATTTTGCTTCAGGTACAAATTGGCATGCACAAAGTACAGACCATTAAGCGGGTGTCGAAACGCCCTACTTAAAACCGTCTTGTAACAATTTTACTTGAATTTTAACAGTTAACAAGAGTTACAAATGAAAGAGTGAAGGGGAATGAGCAGAAGAAATTACATTGAAACAGGATGAATCCATAAATGTTCCAGGGACAGAAGTTGGAACACTAATACTTCTTCTTAATGCCATTTCCGTTGAGTTCATTCCCATGTCTAATCCACAGCATGAAACCGCTTGCTCTAATGAACTTAATTGAAAATATGCAGAATTAGCTGTTTCCGGAGAACACCCTAGTGCTGGAAATTCGCTTGTCGAGGATTGGAACATCTGATGAATCATCAGAAGTACGAACATAAGTTTATACTCTTACTGATAACTTCTAATTCCCAAAAGTTTATGCTAATTCTCTGCTATGATTATTAATCTTCTTACCTCTTTCATGAATACATTATCGATGTTGAAGTCTAGCTCCGGATTAACAGTAGCAAGTTTCATGGACAGGAACTGTTAGAATCCAAATTTTACAAATGATCAGTGTTTTATTTATTATTGTTAAACGTAACGGGAAATCAAAATCAAAAGTTATTATATAGAAAGTTGAGAGCAGGTTCAATTGAGAACCGTAAATATTTTTGAGAATCTTAGTACCAACTATTCATGCTTTATTCATAATGAATATCGTGATACATATTATGATGAAAATGCATAATATCCATGATTATTCAGCATTATTCATCATGATAATTCATGAAATAGTTGGGTTTCGAGGTTTTCAAGATATTTATGGTTCTCATGTTATTCCGCGTTATTCATCATGAATAACGCGTTATTCATCATGAATAACGCGTTATTTATCATGAATAACACAAAGTTTGAGGGTTTACAAGCTGAAATTTTGTCCAGTGATGGCTGGTTAACAATGGCTAATTATATGATTTATTACCTCTACTTGTTTTTGAAGGGATTGAACATAATTGATGATTTCATCAAGCATTCCAGCCTTCCCTGTGATTTTGTTGCACCCTGGTACCAAATCCTGCAGGTACTTCATCCTCTCACTGATCTTCTCCCTTCTTACCTGCATCAAATTGAGTCATAATCATTAAACTTTATGCAAAAAAAAAAATCAAATTCTAGTCGTTTTTGGGTTCGATCACGTACTCTTTCGGCTAAACTATGGCTGTCGGTGGCTTGGCCACGGCGAGCTCGAACATGAATATAATCGGGTTTTTGAACCTCGGAAACCTTAGATTTCTCCTTAGATGAAGTGTTTGTAGAAGCTTCTTTGCTGTTATTACTGCTCTTATTGTCACAATTGCTATATTGATGTGTGATCTTAGAATCTCCTTCTTCAGCACACCCTTTTATCCTCTTCTCTTTTTCAGAAACTAGCTGAAAGTGTCACACATCTAACTTGTTAATTTTAATGAACTTATGTACTTTTTAGGAAACTTAGCATTAAAACAGAATAAAATAAAGAACAAAAACTCTTAGTCTACCTGTAGGCTTTGACCCTCATCAGTTTTCCTCTTCTTAGGTGACACTGAAACCGAAACTGAACCTGAATTCCCCTGTAGAAATGTCTGATTCACAAGTGTGTTTTGATTCATATACCCATAACCCAATTGATCACCATATACACCCCCACCAAAATCCGGCCACCGTTCCTGCATTCCCGGGTCCGGTTTAACCTCGTCTAACCTCGGGTGGTCATCGATCAAACCCGAAAACTGTTGTTGAGTTAGTGGCATAGAATTGAACATATTTTGAAGGTGATGATGATGATCATCATCATCCCCATTGAAAAAGGCATGGTTTTGTTGCCATTTGGTTCTCGCTTGTTGTCTCTCGAGCAAACTGGTGTCGCAACCGGTGGTGCTGCCGGAGTGTAGTTTGGGTTTGAATTGTGGATTCATTTGTGAATGAAAGAAAAAGGGTGTTTGAAATTGAAGGTGGTTTGTAGTGAAGAAGGGTTAGGTAGGTTTGTACTACGTTTTACATGCCAAACTCACGTCCTCTCAAAAACCAATATGCCTTTGCCTCTCTTTTTTCATGTAAAACGACCTTTTTTGTACGTCAAAGTGTTTATCTTTTTTCTGTTTTGGCTATGTAAGGATAAGTAGGGGAGTGGGGGTGGGTGGGTAGAAATATATAGAAGAGGAAAAGTCGCCGGAGAGTGACACCTGCCGGAGTTCGACACAAGTGGCCGGAATAAATAAAGAGGATAGATGAGAGAGAAACAACTTGGGGGTAGAGAGCCATCGAATGTAACCACAAGCGGAGTGGCCATGGGAAGTGGTCCCACTAATGACATGACTGCCACGTGGGTATGTCCTGCCCAACTCCCAGTATTTTATTTTTTATTTTTTCAGTTTTAAATTGGATAGCCCCTTTTATATTTATCAAGTCCCAATACCCACTCTATTTTTATGAGTTTCCTGTTTTAAATCATCAAATCCCAATCGATATGCATGGTGAGAACGTTTAATCATTTGATAATTTCATAATTTATAAGATTTAAATAACTAATTTAAAATAGTTAATATTATAATTAAAAAAAGACAATTAATCCGTTTTTTAAAGGAAGAAAATTCAAATTTCGTACATATATGTATATCTTTCTTTCCTCTCCTCTCCTCTCCTTTAGTATACATGCATACATCTGCATAATTAATATGTATATTGTGAACAAAATGAAAAAGATCTTATAAAAATTTCTTATTATGACATTTACAATGTTGTTATAGTAGTAGGTTTTAGATTTAGTTTTGTTGCTTTAGTTAGTGTTCATAATATATTCATAAGTTATATCACATCTTATAGATTTAGAGTGTTCATAAATTATAATAATATTTCTAAAAAGTGTTTACAATATGTTCATATTATATATATATATATATATATATATATATATATATATATATATATAAAGTTGATCAATGAACATAAATTGATCTTACGGGTCTCATGAAAAATTCTTGGTCTCACGTGAACCCAACCATATATATATATATATATATGAGGTTTAATTTGCAAACCACGTTATTTGTACAAACCGTACAAAACTCATTCAATCAATCATAATTTTTCATTTTGTTCATTTTTTTGTAATTATGAGAGATTGATTAATCATTTTTATTGTGGATGGTGTTAATCAGGGATATTATCATCTTCATTATTTTAATTTTAGAGAAATACATGAAACGGTTTCATTAAAATGTCATTAAATATTATATGAAACAATTTCATAATCATATATGAAACAATTTCATAACCATATATGAAACAATTTCATAACCATATATGAAACAATTTCATCAAAAAAAAGTATTATATGAAATAATTTTATAAGATTAAACAATTTCATGAAATATTTTCATAAGATTATACAATGAAATCAACGGATGATGGTGGTTTGCACGGTTTGTACAAATTAAGTGGTTTGTATTTGATCGTTTATATATATATATATACTTGGGATCATGTGAGACCAATGGTTTTTCGTGAGACCCGTAAGACCAATTCTCAACCCTTGGATTAGATTTACAATCGTCAGATCTGAACATTTATAAACGCCATGAGACTTCTCACTAATTACGAAATTGCCACCTTGCAACTTTGCAACTATTAGATCATTAATTCATAAATTTGATCAATGAACATAAATTGGTCTTACGGGTCTCACGAAAAATCTTTGGTCTCACGTGAACCCAACCCTATATATATATATATATATATATAGGCCTAATCAAATAAGAACTTATTAGTTTGTGGTAACTGTGAAAACTAATATTAATCACAAATCAATAGATAAATTAGGAAATTTATAATTTTGACAATTTTGAATTAAAATATTAATGCAAGGATATTTTTGGTATTTTAAAACTTTCCTCCCTCCTCTTTTCTCTCTCCGGCCACCGTTCTCCGGCCACCGTTCGTCGGCCGCCGTCCTCCGGTGATACTACAATGGTATCACAATGCATCATATATGTGCTTGGGTATCACATTGATGTCGTTTGTGTGGTCGATCGAAGATGTAACATAGTGGTATCACTATGCATCTTATATATGATTAGGTATCACAATGTATCTTTTGTTTAACAGAGTCAATATTTTTAGGTATCACAGTGGTATCATAGTGGTATCACCGGAGGACGGTGGCCGGAGAGAGAAGAGAGAAGAGTTTTAAAATACCAAAAAAATCCTTGCATTAAGATTTTAATTTAAAATTACCAAATTTATAAATTTTCTAATTTATCTATTGATTTGTGGTTAATATTGGTTCTCACAGTTACCACAAACAACTCAGTTCTCCCTTGAATAGGCCCCTATATATATATATATATATATATATATATATATAAAATGATATTAATTCAACTCTCATTGGTGGGATGAATAAAAACTTATTTATCTCTTTCACTTTAGTTTTTTAGAGAATTCTCTATATATGGAGTTCTCTTCATAATTATATTTTAGAGAATGAGATAGGAAAACTGTTGAAGCATTATAAAGAATGAAAAGTTGATTTTCTCTGTTATAGAGAAGCTGTTAGAGATGCTCTTAAGAACTTCTTAAAGAAAGCCCCTCCAATACATACATATATTATGCTTAAGTACATACATGAAACGGCCCTTGTGAACACGTAAGTTAGGGAACGACACAACGATGAATTAGCGATTAGATTAGGTTAAGTTGAAGTGTTCCTTCATGTTCAATATTCTAATTTTACATACTGATCTTATGCTATCATCATCATCATCAAAATTTTGAAATTTATTCTTATTTCTCTTACTACCGAACATAATTCTAATATGTAATTATACCATCGTCCTCTAATTTAATTTGATATCGTTTTATTTACTTTTTTTATTTTATTTTATTACAAGCAGCTTGTGTACATCTTCAATCTTACAAGCATGCCTTGCAAATTAAACTATCCCGTAAATTTATCATAGAATTTTTACTAAAAGTTGCAAATGATATTTAGTTGATTAATTCTATTTGCATAAAAGTTGCAATGATAACCCAAACTTTATCAAATATTTTTCTATTTATTTTAAGATAAATTCAACTTAATCTAACATATAAAAAGGTAAATTGCATGAAAAAGTAACATACTTTAACTTGATTTCTATTTTGGTAACTTACTTTCAAAACTTCTATTTTGATACCTAAGATGTAAAGTTTTAAAACCGGTTGAAGATTAATTTCAAATTAAAAAAAGACTAATTTTAAATTAAAAAAATCTATGTCACTAACCACATTAGTAAATAATACTGAGTTGGATACCACATCAACATAATAACCAGTTACTGTTTCAACTAGTTACCTGAGTATTTAACTGTTTAAAACTTTACATCTTAGGTACTAAAATGAAAGTTCTGAAAATACATTACTTGAAATAGAAATCAAGTTAAAGTATGTTATTTTTTCATTCAATTTATTCTATATAAAAAATAAAAAAATTAGACCACCCATATAGTGTTGCAAGTAGCAAATAGAATTGTAGTATGATTTCAAAATGGTCCTAACGCTTTCATTTCCATGCCAAATAGGAATTTCCGGGACCCATTAAATATTTAATTCGTATGAGATTAGATATAGTAATTTGTATAAGCTAGTATATATTGCTTTTTTATATTGTTCCAATAGTTAATTTCATTTTGTTTATTATAAAATATTTAATTTATGATCAACTTACATACAAAATTCAAAAGTAGTATTTATTGATAATAAAATAAATGTTATATACTTTTAATATTTGTAAGTATTTATTTATTAATATAAAAAATTACCTTGATAATTCTTTTAATTAATTTAAACAAATTTAGGGAGGCTCGTTATTTCAATTAGTCTTCATATTCCTTGAATGAATCTCTTAGTTATTGAGAAAGTTGTCTAAAAGTGGTATATAAAACGTGTCCAGTAACACTTACAAATAAACCAGATATAAAGATATTAACTTAAATCATAATTATAATGACATAAATGTGTTTTATTTTACTGTTAAATTGAAGTAAATAAGCTATATTAAATCAAAATAAGTAGATTATATTTTATACCTTTTATTTGGGCAGAAAATTGATTATCGACAATCCCAACCGACTTTGCATAGAACGCGCCTTCAAAAACACCAATGTGAGTTACATCTTTTGAATCACTTAGTGGCTGAGACTAACGGGCCGTTTACCATACGCTTACCTGAGTAAGCACATACCGAGTCATATTATCTTATCGAATGTATATAATAAGGACCAAGAATCTTACCCGGTAAGAGCGAGCAAGGACCAAGAGTCTTACCCGGTAAGTGACGGCGACGACTCTTACCACGGTAAGCACTTATCAAGTAAATTGTTGTATGCGATATCATTTTGATGGACTACATCTTATCCCGTAGGTAATTGATAGCTTTAAATTTCACTGATAAGCGCTTACTGGGTTAGTGTTTGGCAAACGGCCTCTAACAATGAAGGCCCGAAATCGAATCCGAGACTTGTCTTATACTTTGATAAAGTAAGGGCATTTGATATTTTATTATTATTATTATTTTAAATTATTATAATATAATATTTTAATTTATAAACTTATATTTATGTGTCTGTAAAGACTTTTTTTAAAGTATGTTTGTAATGGCAGGTGTATATAAAAAGGTATTTGAGAATCTGAGATACATTTAAATTCTGAAATAATTGAAGGCATATAAATGGGCTGATGAATTAAAATTAATTAATTATTTGTTTTTATAAAAATAAAAAATAAAAAATAAAAAATGATTTGTTGATTGTGTTATGGAAAGTGAAAATATCGAGTGGGTGGGGGATTGGGCCCACTTTCACACCCAGGAAGAATGGCGGGAGGCTCCGGCTCCTCAACGTCCCAAGCTCACGTGGGGGCATGGGGGACGAGGGTTGGGTTACACGTGGCATGCGTTGATTGGTGGTCCATGTTAATATCAATTATATCGTACGTGAGAACTTGTGATTGGTAATTTGGTACCTGATGAATCTTTTAGAGACACACCAGAAAGAAAGATGCCATCCTCTGCGTCTTTCTTCTACGCGCTCCCTTCGTTGCGTGC